ATATAAAAATACGACAGATTTCATACTAGACGAAATGTCTACTAGACGTTTAACAGTTTGTTAATCGCCTAGACGTTTTACAAACCAATACACAATATTACACAATATACACAAAGTTACACAATATCTGATAATTTTCTCTCTTTGCACGTGAAGCAATTATAAACACTGTCTATGGTGCGGGATAAACGCATTTAAACATCCACACGCTATCCTCTAAATTACAGGGTGATCAATAAAAGATGACATAAAGTGAGCCCCCGCCAGAGGCGTAAGACAATGTATTGCATAAACAGCTCACCGTTGGAATGATAAATCTTAGACATTTTACATCGCACAAACAGAAATCAGTTGTGACACTTCAATGTCTTCAGTGGCCGTATTCACAGTAGGGTAGGAGTAACGGGTAACGGGCTATTTTTGTGGTCGTATTCACAATCGAAGTTTACTCCTGAGTCCTGATGGTCGCCCGGCGGCACGCAGACGGCACCACGCAGGCTAGGTGCCGTCTGCGTGGCGCCGGGCGATGATGATGACGAGATGTCAATCGAATACCAACTTTTTGGCATACCGATACCAAACCAATACCAACTTGGTATTTGGCGTTTCGAGGCTAACACATTTGGCATTTTGTTGGTATTGTGAATCCTCGTTAATGTAAAAGAGACTGTGACTTCGGTAAAAAGTTGGCATTTCCCTGATATTCCCAAGTCGGTTCGGTTTCGGTATTTTCCCACGGTTCCTGTTGGTATTTGGTTTGGTATCGGTATCACGACTTTCTGTAATTGACAGCACTCGTCCATATATTTAAAAAAAAAAATGCCTTCCCAGGTTTCTATCCATTGCGAACGGGAATACTGGACAGATTACTGAAGAATTGCTAGACTCTCTTCACCTTCGAGCAACTCAACAAGATCCCAGCACCCCTGGTCACTCTCGATAGGCGTTATCACAAGTGTATTCGCGGCCATTGGGGCGACGTAAAAAAAGAAGAAAACATCTGGCCCCAAGAACTTTAAATTATCAGTTAGCATGCACCTTTTCCTTGATCTGTAGAGAATTTACCATTAATTGTTAGAGAAAATTGCAGTTAAAATCTTCCATTTATGCTTTTTTCATCGTTTGCACAATATGTCCTTTTACTAAGCTAGAAACACTAATTAGAAATAGTTCCCGCATCATCGTCAAGAACAATAGGCAAGGCTTGAAGTGAATACAATAATCTAAACGGTTTTGTAATCCATGTGAAGACACTTCTAAAATTGCCTGTAGAAATATTGAAGGCAAAAGTTCAACTTTTTCACAAGACGGATGTCTATAAACCTATTCAACGTGTGACAACTCAGCCGGTATTTCGTCGCCTACAGCCCAGCTTTCCCTAGTGACCGATAGAGGCGCTGCTATCGATGTCCGCCCGTGCCGCCTAACGTGCAGTCTGGATTTTTCGTGCTTGGACTTCACCGTTTAACCTCAAGCAACTCAAGTTGCGGAGCGAACTCAAGAGCCCAAGACCCTTGATGAACTGAACGCTGCCGTGAGTCGTTGAAGGCTTCGTATGCACGATAGCCGGCGATCATTTGGGGCTCCAGCGGGGGCTTACTTTGTCATTCGCTAATGAACACCCTGCACTTGTGCACGTGACCTGACCTCAGAGGTCACATGTTGATCTGACACTTTTAACTTGATTGTGAATCGCTGGGTGTTGTTTTTGTTTGCAAGACTTTTAGCTTAAGTATGGGCGAAACGGCGGCGAGGGTCCAGCACCCCCCCCCTCTCCCCCCCACACACACACACTCTAGACCCCTCTCGGTATTCAGAAAGTCGATAGGTCCGACGAGGAATAACGGATACAACGACAACGAGACACGTGCACTCTTGAAATATGTTTGTTCCGTGTGGATTTGATTTTTGAGAACGTTTCCTTGTCTTGTCTATAAGCTGAAATTCGCCAATCAGTCTTATGCATTACCTAGCTGCATCGCTTCGAGTCCCATCAGTGGGAATGGCTTCTACACTCTACACTATTAGTGCTTTCTTGGAATGATATCGCGTTCGATAGAAGCATAAAGCGAACACATAACGAACGGGGCGAGATTAACATATTGCTTAATGGTTACCCCTACCGAAGGTTTAACAATGCAGTTATTGAAATGAACTGTTCAACAGTTGTTCAGCGCAATAAAGGAGAGTATATGAAACAATAGGAAATTAAAAGTTATGAAGGTTGAAATATGCAACCGTTAAGATAATGATATAAATAAAGACGTAGGCGGCGGTATGCCGATCATGACAACTTTAATTGCTACGTCCTAAACAAATTGCCACGTATTGCAGCCTAAGTTGAAACTGCAATGAATGATGCGTGAGCTACATGGTCCGGCATAAGTTTTATCCTCTAAAAAAATGTTCTCTCTAAGTTGCTACATAGTGGACAGCCGACAGCGATTCTCTTGCGTTCAGTTTAGTCACAGTTAGTCCCCCACGAACAGGGATTTACATACGAACGCAAATTTGCATGCTGGTAACTAGGTTGTGCAGTAAATACGGCTGGATTTTTTATCATGCCCGTTTGAGCTGTAACGACAAGGCGCCGAGGCTGGCAGCCGGCTTTTGTTTGTCCAGGTCCTGCTGGACGATAGCCCGAAATTCGTCGATCAGGATGAGGTCCGGATGGCAGCCGGCTAGCATCTCTTTCCTTCAGAAGTCTGGCACGTTCAATTCGCACCACCTCTAGGCCTTGGCAGAGCGATGAGCTGGCGCGCCGTCCTGATTGAAAATGCATGTCAACATGTCATTGACCATGCGTTGGCATAGCATTGGGCCGAAGGTAGGTAATGAGCCTCGGAGAGCTCTCCCAATAGCGTCTCACGGTCCTGTTTGGAGATGTGATAGCGCTTCAGCGCGAGCCGCTTGGCCAATTTTGTCGCGAACTACTGGCCCCTCTTCCCGGCCGCCTTTTTCAATGCGATTTCTGTAACGTTTGAAATGGTAGGCGCACTCTGCAAACTGGAACGATCAGCAACACTGCCAGCAGCCGTATGCTTATCCCACCAACACCGGGCTGTGCAGACAGTTCGTCTATAATTAAGACTTGCGAACAAAAACAACAGGGCAGATGTCCCAACCAATCAGCAATTACACGCTGTGTCATTTCGGCCTGGAGCATGCCGACTGTCTGGTTCAGCTCCCTTGATAGAAATGTCAGACCTTCATGTAGCGACGCAGCCTTTCAGGTGGACAATCTCTGTGAAAATGGCCGTAGCTCGGTGATCCGTGACCCGAGGTCCGTTCGTCACCTCATGTTCTGCGGCCAAGGACCGTGCAATGCAGGAGTGCAGCCTGAATCGTCATCTCTCAGAAGTAGACACGATTAGGAACCGGAAAGTGTTGTCATAGGTAGTGGACATAATTTTTGCCGAGCCATGTAGTGTCGTCCAGTAGCGTCTTTCATTGTCAGCGAGACGCTACCTGGAGTTGAAATGGCGAGCGGCCCTCCCGCCGGAATGGTAAGCGCCCTTCGCTGTCAAACGCGGCGCTAGTTTCCGCCTAAGCTCCGCTGGCCCGCTCAACTGCTATGTCATGCGGCACAGTCTACAAGTACAGGTGACCGGTCGCGAGATCGTAGCTCCGTAGCACCGAGCGAGTGTGGCGAAGGTGGGGGTATTCACCGCATCAAATCTACAGGTCGCCTGGACCCTTATCTTGAGACCAATAGTACCTACCTCAGAGGCTGCCAGGTGGGGTGGGACGGGAAGAGTCCGGCTGTGGCTTTGTGCCGACTATATTGTCTGCTGACTGCTACGTAGTGGGGCCGGGTTTTTGTTATGCTGAACGATAATGAATTGAACACTAACTTGTATTCAGGCTTTTTTAGTCGGCAAATGAACTCTGTTACCACTTACTACCGTGTTCGTGGCCACAACTTAAGGAGATTATAATTTTGAAATCGTCTATACTGAAGGGAGCGTCACATGCTAAAGAATGATCCCGTACAGGCGATGCTACTGGACTAACGGGCGAACTCTTATCCAGTCCAGTAGCATCGTCTGTACGGGATCATTCTGTAGCATGTGACACTCCCTTCAGTATAGACGATTTCAAAATCATAGATCAAAAACGCTCAAACTTCAATTTACGAATTTAAGGAGATTATAACTATCGGAGACACTTGTTCATGTATTGAATCAATTGTTATGAAAATGTATCTTATCTGGGTTGCCAAGCATGCATGATCAAACAAATTTTAACCACCCATGCCAACCATTCTTAGTGGAAATTAGACGCATCAACTTGGATCGCCACTCCCCAATGCGATGAGCTGACCCAATCGGAGCTGAACTGTCCGGCGACCGGATTGGTGACCGGCCGCTGACCTCGCCTGGGGCACGGGCCGGTCACGTGACCCGCGCCGGGCCGGGGCGGAGCGGGGCTCGCGGCGGCCGCCCGGCAGAGGCGGACGGACTCGGTGGCGGGCCGGTCGTGTGAAGTCCTTGCGGCTGCCGACTGTTCCATTTGCTTATTAGTCGATTCCATTTTGAGGGGGTTTCCATAGGCGTTTGCAGTCCTATATAAATGTTTATTAGGAGTAGCTGTCCTTCCGTCCATATAACGGCAAGATGCCGCCCTAGGTGGCCGTTTGTCTGCTCTGCTCTCGCTACGGCGCTTTGACGGCTACTTCCTCTGTCTGTTAGCCAGGTCGCAGCAGCACTGCCCCGTCACGTTCCCGGCTGCTTGGGGCAGCACTGGCGGACGTTGTCCTCCCGCCCTGCCCGGCGTCCCGTCCACACCTCTGTCAGGGCGCCGCTGCTCTCGCGTTCCCTGACGCCAGCCTCGCCGTTGGACGACTTTTTCAGTGCTTTACGATTTGCTATTACACGAGTCCGATGGTAACCCAAGTTATCTCGCATTGTACACTGTACAGCGCCCTAGTTGTCCTGCATCGCAGCCAATCGCTCAAACTCATCGTGTTTGTCGGAATCCTGCGTCTCAACAAGCAAAGAGAAATTATTAACAACATATATTTGCTGCATAAAGCGCTGTTCTTTCGCACAATGTCGTAGCAATCTGGCACATTATCTATGAAATTAATCAGACTAGACATTGAAGCACTGAAGACGAGAGAATGGTTTCATTACACATTACTTAACTGGAAGAAATCTAGCTACATTGTATTAAACGGCGTTTCAAATGCGTTGCCAATTAATAATAACATAAATCATCAGTCACCAACTTTGATATGCGACAGCCCCTTACACATAATCATCACTTGTTTAGGGGAAAATCGACTAGATTCATATAATCACTCGCATGCAAAATTTATCACCAAAGCACAAGCTCATTTGCACAGCTCATCCGTAATGTGCCCCCCCCCCCCCCCCCTCGCTTGCTTCCCACAGAAAGCGTTCTCGAGCGCCGCGTGCCTGGAAGTCTTCCTTGAATACTTTTTTCCTGGTGCATAAGTTTGACTTCCAAGCCAATAAATATATATTTTTTACATATTTAAAAGTAGCAGCATCCATCTTCTGCAATTTTACTTTATGCATGCACTTGTCCATGTCGCTGAATTGGTTGACAAACTTCATACATTTTCAAAACATAGACTTCTGTCTCCAGCTAAGCCCTGCCGACTGGCTATATAAATCCATCAGCACTCGCTCGAAAACGCACACAGACATTCACGCTCACACGTGAGGCAGTGGAAAAAGACTGCTTCACATTGGTCACCAAGCAGTTCACTTAAAACCCTCGCGGGGTGCTAAACTATCGCTCGCGCCGGCGGGGGTTTATCGCTTGCGCTCGCGGGAAACACTGGCCGTGTCTTGGTGGCTGTCCTCGGACGCTCTTACAGGGGCTTGGGCACGTTCTTGGTGAAATCACCGATGAAGTTTCCAGCCGGATCTGAAACGGTAGGAAAAGGGTTACTTTGATATTTGTGTATCGACGTTGGCAGCGATTGCATTTATAAATAATTGAAGCATTCAGTCAGTTGTAAGATAATTCAGCTAAATGGCATGTTTAATACAAGAAGCGCTGTAATTACCGTAGTTGGCGACCACCATGATCTTGCCGCTCTTGGAGCGGGCTTTGCCGACCCCCAGCTCCTTGGACTCCTTCCAGACCACCTGGGAGAAGTGGCCTGAAAACAACAGCAACATTGAGCGCAGTCGGTTATCGGGCGGGCCATCATTAAGATGATCATACTTATACACTTCGTCAATGCAGTGACTTTGCGATATCGAAGAGAGTTAACTACAGCTTATCTGCATACCGTCCACGTCTTTCATATAAACTATTTTGCTTCACGTCTACATACTGCATCTATGTTCATTGTGTTCTGTTGACACCGGATCGTTTCACTCGACTCCCTGCGGCCACTCACCCGACTTCATGACTCCCGCCTTCGGCTCGACGTCGAACTTGTGGTCCTTGATCTCGCTGTACCAGCTCTCGACGGCCTCGCGGCCGTTCACCTTGAACTTGGGGTCGTCGCTCCACACGCAGAAGATGTTCTCGCCGTACTTTTTGTCCTGCCGGTGCTCCATCTTGTCCTTCTCGGCGATTGTGTCGGCCCACTGCTGGCTGTACTTGCACATCTGGGGACACGGCCGATCACAATGCGTGAATACTGTGGAATGTGCTGCACCTTTAGAAGGCTATCCCGTTAAGCACGGCAAAAGAAGAACAGCAATTAGTTAAGTCAAAAAAGTTAACTAGTATTCCAATAGGGTTTCTGAATATTGGGCACATTTATTTCTGAACCCGCCAGAGCCAGCTGATTTCCAGGCAACTGTAAGAAGTCTTCACGCAAGCACTTCTTTTTAAATCAAACCGAACTCGTGGCCGCCGTCGGTCACATTGCGTCGCGTGTTAGCAAAATAACAAAAAAAAAATGTTGCTGCTTTAATGCATCCGTGTTAACATGCCACGGTGGGAGCCATACCTTTTTGTTCAGCTTCAGCGACGGGACCCCGTGCTTCTTCCGGTACTCGTTGTGCGCCTTCAGGCATTCCTCGGCAAAGTCCTCTTCGTCGCTGCTGCTGCTGCTACTGCTGCTGCTGCTTCGGCGCTTGCTCTTGCTCTTCTTCTTCTTTTCTACCCGCGGGGCGTCACGTTTAGGCTTGAAGCCAGCCGGGAATCCGCTGCGATGGAAGAGAAAATCAGTTGATTATAAACTCACCAGCGATTTAGTATAGACTGCGGCATCGATACCTCTTTTCACCGCAAGAGGATGACTGGTTTGATCTAGTAATGAACCGCGCTCACAATCAACATATTCACCTATCCACGTTTAACCATCGTTTCATATTTTGACCCAGGCCGGCACTCCTCCCTGTCTAGAGTTCTGCGCCACGTCCCCAAGTCGAGCTCACCCACGGGCGGTACCCTGTCGCAGTGTTCTCCCCAGAAACCCCTCTCACCCACAGGCGGTACCCTGTCGCAGGGTTCTCCCCAGAAACCCCTCTCACCCACGGGCGGTACCCTGTCGCAGGGTTCTCCCCAGAAACCCCTCTCACCCACGGGCGGTACCCTGTCGCAGGGTTCTCCCCAGAAACCCCTCTCACCCACGGGCGGTACCCTGTCGCAGGGTTCTCCCCAGAAACCCCTCTCACCCACGGGCGGTACCCTGTCGCAGGGTTCTCCCCAGAAACCCCTCTCACCCACGGGCGGTACCCTGTCGCAGGGTTCTCCCCAGAAACTCCTCTCACCCACGGGCGGTACCCTGTCGCAGGGTTCTCCCCAGAAACCCCTCTCACCCGACGGGCGGCACGTTGTCGCAGGGTTCTCCCCAGAAACCCCTCTCACCCACGGGCGGTACCCTGTCGCAGGGTTCTCCCCAGAAACCCCTCTCACCCACGGGCGGTACCCTGTCGCAGGGTTCTCCCCAGAAACCCCTCTCACCCACGGGCGGTACCCTGTCGCAGGGTTCTCCCCAGAAACCCCTCTCACCCACGGGCGGTACCCTGTCGCAGGGTTCTCCCCAGAAACCCCTCTCACCCACGGGCGGTACCCTGTCGCAGGGTTCTCCCCAGAAACCCCTCTCACCCACGGGCGGTACCCTGTCGCAGGGTTCTCCCCAGAAACTCCTCTCACCCACGGGCGGTACCCTGTCGCAGTGTTCTCCCCAGAAACCCCTCTTACCCGACGGGCGGCACGTTGTCGCAGTAGTCGCCCAGGAAGTTTCCGGCGGGACTGTAGTTGGCCACCACGTAGACCCGGCCGGACTTGGAGCGCGCCCTGCCCACGCCGACCTGGCGGGTGCTCAGCCACACCACCTGAGAGAAGTGGCCTGTCGACAGAGCGGACAACGATCGAGCGTCAGAGCAGGTCACATGGGTCGCGCGCCTTGTGTGAGTTAACTTCGTTGAAAGCACCTTTCTTCGAAAACAAAGAGCCAGAGCTAACATCCCAGTGACGATATTGAACGACCGGCGCTTGATATTATTTTGCATATGGTGCATCAGTACATAGAAACTGCCCAAGCTGTTTTTTCTGACTATACGGCTAATATGTGGCTATTGTATAGACAGCAACAGGAAGACCAAGGCGATAGTCTTTAAGCTTACGGGGTATAGTTTTGTTATAAGTGCAGGATAATCCTATAGGATTCTTGTTAGGCAGATATTAACATGCGCAAGAAAGAACAGACACCATTACGTGAGGTGATATTTCATGCTCGGCATGCAGGCAACCGGTCACCAATAGAAGATGCTCATTAGCTACGATAATGCAATTCATTTGATATGCCTAAGCCTATTTCGGTAAACAAGGCTTGTGAATCACCCATTTAATTAACGATTCTCTTCTAGCTCAATGAAAAGTCAACAATGGAATGTGAACGCAGAGCGGCCACATTGCAATCGAATGCCTGCAAGGTTGACAGTGGATTCAGCCGTAAATGTGCCTCACCGCTCTTGAGCACTCCAGGAGAGGGCTCCTTGGAGAAGTCATGGTCCTTGATTTCGGCATACCACGAGTCGACTGCCTCGCTGCCCTTCACCTTGTGTTTGGGGTTGCTGGACCACTGCGCGGGGCACACAGCGGTGGGTTAGAGCGCGGCGACGGACCGTTAGAGGTGGCACACAGGGGGCGCTACTGCACAGTTAGGGCACCAGTCGGTGGGGATATACCGAGTGAGTGGATCAAACGACGAGGATCGAGGAGCACATAGGGAAAGTGTTACTGGTGAGCTGCTTGGAAACTGGCCAGTCTCAAGACACCGGATGTAATGAACCGAGGGGAAAGGAATAGTGGCAACCGTTTAGACGGTTATTGTGCAAGATCAGCGGATGAATAGGAATGATAGTGACTACTGACTAGCGATTAATGCTGGCCAGTCAGTTTGTCAGCGATGGGGGAAAAGCTACCTTAGATAGACGTTCGCTGATAGAAACGGATTTTATTTATATTTACCCTGACTGGAATGCTGAGAAGGTGAGAGCGACTGGTATTGTGTTTGTGATTTATGAATTGGCGAACCGATGGAAAAGGAAAACATTGGTCCTAGTCCAAGATTAGCGTGGAAGGTCTTAGCATGTCACAGGACCACTTTCTGGGGTTGGTTTGGAACGCCCTTGCCCCTTGGTCAGTCGTATGAGTACCTACATACATATATGTTAGGACACACGCAAAAAAAAATCACACTTAAGGACGTTAATTCCACTGGTTAGAGGGGGGTTAGAGTGAATTGGCGGCCCTCTGGATTTGGGAACGGTTTTCTCCTACCTTGCAGTAGATGTTTTCGCCTTCCGAATTGTCCTTCCGGTGCGACATTTTGTCGTCATTTGCTATCTGCTTGGCCCACTCCTTTGCCATCTTCGTGAGCTGGAAGAGGGAAAATAAATTAGTATCCTGTAATTCAAATGAAAGCATGATGAATTCTCTACTACATGTGAAAATATTAGTATTCTAAGAAATGTGAAGCTTACCAGCATGAGTTCGAATCTTTTACCCGTTATGATATTTAACCCTCGCCCGCACATGGGGGGGGGGGGGGTGCCACCCCCAGGTAGTCTTTCTGCTCTGCACTCAACATTTTTACAGCTAGAAGCCTGATTTTTGGTATAGCTGCTTCTCTATCCTTTCTTGATGTCCACTGAAAATTTCAAGTTTCTGTGGTTTTTGGTTTCGGAGATATGACCTTGTTTTTCAGGTCATGTCATGACCCAAATGACCAATTCTCAACATCTTCCGTTGGCTATGGGCCTTGTGAGCTTTTGAAACCTTGATTTCGGCCTTTTTTGCCAGTCTTACCTCCCACCTATCATGGAACATGTTGTTCGACGATGTACAGATGTCAAGATCAGGGTCAAGGTCAACCTAGGTCATCTAAAATAACTGCGTTTTAGGCAAGCTGAATTTACTTTTCGTGAAGTTTTTCGACTGCATTTTTGGTAAAAGCTTCTCAGATCATGATTTCATGTAATATGGACACATAAACACTCGGTGCACACATCAGATACACACAGACACACACAGACATACAAACACATATCATTGACCTTGACCTAACTTGACCTGAAATGACCTCAGCAGCAAAAATCTGGTCGGGTAGTGTGACAAAGAGGTTCTAGCTGGCTTGGCACCAGAAAACGGCATCGTCATCGGTATATGATAAGCAGCGCACTTGATATCCAACGGTGACCCAAAACAGCAACATTTCTTAGTTTGACCTGACCTGGAAGGTCAATGACTGACCTGAAAAGGTAAAACTGGGTATCATTGGATTCGTCTCTTCCCAAAGAATCTTTTTTGTCTTTACCGCGAAGCTCTATCTCCAACAGGAACGAAATGGCGCGGGGGGGTGGCAACCACCCCCCTCCATGTGCGTTCTATGGATGGGAAAATGGCATGTGCGGGCGAGGGTTAATAATCAGTTAGAGGACCATCGGTATTCAGCTGATCCCCATGTACTGGGTGAGTGAAAGGATGTTCCCCATGATGCCCTGCGGCGCTCGCACCTTTTTGCTGCGCTCGAGCGGCGGCGCGCCGTGCTTCTTGCGGTAGTCGTTGTGGGCGTTGATGCAGTCCTGCTCGAAGCTGTCCTCGTCATCACTGGAACTGTTACTGCTGCTGCTGCGGTGGCGGCTCTTCGATTTGGACTGAAACGACAGAAAAGAGAGGTTAAAATAGATCACTTTAGGTTGGCATTGCTTGGAAAGTGCGGTGCTCAGGCCTTTCACACTAAAAAAGAGCCACCTGGGTCAAACGAGAAGTACCCTGCTGCTTTTGCGCCATCAGCGTAGGAAAAAAAAAATGGAAGCCCAGTATGTTATTTTAGAACCGTAAAATCGGAGACACCAGCTGACAGAGACAGCTCCCCGAGTTGAGGTAGCCGCCACAGATGCCTGACTATGTACCGCCTGAATGCCTTCTGAGCGACTAGGTACTTTTCGATCTGAGGTCACCCGCACGGGCATCGGCGTCTGTTCGGAGGACCTGGACTTTTCAGCGCAGGTAATTACCGTTGACTGTCTTTCGAATTTCAGGGGAAATGGGACGTGAAAAGACCAGAATGACTGCGTAGAGGTGTAGCAAGAACTGCCGCTCATCTGCACGGCCTAATGTGACGGCCCAAAAATCTAATACGCTTGCTAAGGGTCTTCGGTGATGTTCCATTAGAGCCTGCCCGTATTGATCGTTTTCAGGTGAATAACGCATTCATATAGATTGTCATTTATCATCATTTATCATTTATCATAGCTTGATTTATTACGGAGCGAGCGAAGCGAGCGAAGTCTTTCCTTAGATTAACGGAAATTTCTGAGTATGAGCGGCCGGCCGGCCGGCCGGCCGGCCGGCCGTGCGGACGCTTTTGCGAGGCTTATATCTCAGCAACCACTTGACCGATTTACACGCGGTAATTTTTGTAGGGTAGCTTCATTCCTTCTACCAAGTATTGGACTATTCCCGATGCATATAGGTGACCCCTTATGCACGTGCCACGTGCAAAACGAAGAGGTGTCAGTTTTGTAATTGTTGCAATATCTCGGTAACTACTTGGCCGATTGCGCTGAAAGTTGGCATGTAGGTAGGCACCCACTAGGCACTGCATATCCATGTGCCAGAGTTGGGGTGCTGCTGCACGTGCGCACGTGCAGGGGTCGTTTCCAGATCTCGAGAACGGCTGGACCGATGGCGCTCAAATTTGGTACACGGTTAGGGACCAGTTAGTAGGGTGCCGTGCACAAGTCAGTTGGGACCCATTTTGCACGTGCGCACGTGCAGGGTGCCGCTCCCAGATCTCGAGAACGGCTGGGCCGATTGTGCTCAAATTTGGCACATCGCTAGAGACCGGTCAGTAGGGTGCCGTGCACAAGTCAGTTTGGAGGTACCCCCTCGAAATTTCGCACGTGCAAGACTCACCCCCTCGCTCGCTCCGTTAGTCGCCCCAAAAGGCGCTATACTGGTCATTAACATTGTATACGTTTATTGCAAGTTTATTAGGACTTCATCTGATGTCGTGAAGAATAGATTTCGGTAAAAACGTCTCGTCTGCATTTTTTAACATGCTCGCTGTTTTCATTTTATTTTGCGCCGGTGCAGTGGTGCAGTGGTCGTTACATCTCATTGCAACAGTGCGTCACCATTCGGAGAGGTACACAGACGACCAGAAGTGGATAAAGTGGCTTGTCTGAATATATCCTTCCTGTGCCGTAGCATTATCTGCGACATATGCGGCTCAGCATGGGATGAAGACAATGGTCGTTTTAACCCGTTTGAAAATAATCCCAGTGTTGTGTAAACACATTTCCGAAGTTTTAGGCTCTTATTGTTATACAAACAGTTGATCAGTTATGCTCAAAAAGCAAAGCGATGTTTTCGAAACAAGTTGCAGTTGAGTCATGGCATCCGTCAAACTCAGTAGTCGGACCACAAGTCGTCATCGGCAGCCTCCTCCTCCAGCCACTGTTGGATCCAGGTGTTGTCCGCCGGCCTCCTGGCCTCCGCGCCGGGTCGGCCGGATGTCTGCTGCGACTGGACTCGGCTGGGCTCGGTATTATTGGCCGCCTTCTGTCCCCTGCCTGCCGACGAGCTACGGACCGTCCCCAGAGTGGGATTCGAACGGCGCTGGCGAGGCTGCGAGCGTGAAAACGGCTGTGTGATGATATTCTCCGGATTCAAGAGTCTCTCGATCAAAGTCATATTGTCACGCTTCTTGAGATATATATGCCCGGGCGGCCTTGGTTTGCTTTGTAGCTTATGAGTTGGTTCCCTTGAATGCTTTGCACCTCCGCTGATTCTTGTGTGGGCGTAACTTGTTGGGGAGTTGGAGGTGTCTTGCGGATCGGCAATGTTTCGCCTTATCTTTTGTTTTAGTTTAAGGGTACGATTTTCTTCTAACAAACTTTTGATGAATACACGCTGGTCTTCAATTGTTCGCTCCAAATGTATAATGTATTCCTCGATTTGCTCCACAATTTCCTCAGTACCAATTTGTGTCACCGATTTTCTCCTTTTCAACCCTATTGGTTTAGGCCTTTTCGGCCATTTTTCTACGCTTTTGACATGAGGCTTAGCCGGGCGCTCTGTTGAAAGGCTGCGCAGCATTTATCATAGCATTTAGCAGAGTAGTTTTAATACAACCATGAACAGTAAGATAGTACAATCATGGTACTCACGGGTCCACTTTCATCATTCATGCTGGCTTCACGCTATTAGCTTTATTTTATTTCATTCTTCTCGCTTTCTCTGTGGGTAGTTTCTTTGCTTCATTATTTAGCTGCCTCTGGAAGTCACATTTTTGGTGTGGATATTTGAACAAAACGCTGCTAAGAAAAAAGGAAAGATTTTAAAAGGGGAGAGCCTAAATAAAGTTGTGTTAGTAGAGCTACTCAAAAAGTTTTTTGTTGGTGCTACAATTTAGATACCTATAATTAAGACTTTTTTGCATACCTATATAGGTATATAACGTTTTCGCTCTATGTTATTACCCAAAATTTCCGCGGCTCAAAGCAGGTAGTTCATTTTTAACGAACAGGAACATTACATATATTGCATGCATGTGCTTCTGTCTTTGCTGCACCACTCATGTAGAAGGCTTCAAAGCGGTAAAGTGTGGACAAGGGATAAGGCTCACTGCAAGTTGGAAGAGGCGGGCTTTTAATTTCGCAACCAAAACAGATTCATTCCTTCTGCCTTACTACGTGTCTACAGTGAAGTTGTATACCTTGTAGTTTGGATGGGTGACCTACCTCCTTGTCTTTCTTGGACTTTGACGCCTTGGGACTCGGGCTGCGCGACTTGGGTGGCTTATCCCTCTTAAACTTGGAGAGCAGTCCTCCCTTCTTCTTCTCAGGGCTGGAGCTGCGATTACGTCGACCGTGATGTTTGCCTCCATCGGACGATGACGAAGACGACCGGCGTCGGTTACCGTCTGCAGATGTGAGACAAAAAGATGTGAGAGTGAGAAAGACGAATAAGATAATATTGAATAAATAAATGAAGACGTGAAAAATAGACTACATGAATTTCATAATTCACGTCCAGTTTTGCGTCTTTTTTATTTGGTGCATACAGTATTCGTGCATATTCGATTATTCACGCTACAAAACTGTATTTTACATGAAATTTATTTGCGAGACGTTTTTCTGAATATCGGTCCAGAAAATGTCGTAATAAGTGTGACAGTGAACCAGCTTTGTTTAAGTCATGCAAAGTTTCTGGAGGAGGAGAAACATTAAATGTGCAAAAAGCTAGTGCACACACCGTGACCGTGTAGCACACACAGTGTAGCTCAGTGGACACTATCTGACAATTCGAGCACCTGCTGATAGCATCTTGTCACCGATTGGCCTCTATCGCGCCCGGAGCTTCCGAGGGCTCATGACATTTCCGTTTATCCGTGTGCGAGCGATATGGCGACTTTAATCGGCGTTTGTTCGTCATTTTACCCGGGGCCGTGGCAATCAGTACCTACTCACCCTGTCGTATTAAGCACTGAGCTCTCTTAATTGGTGCTAACTGTTCCGTTATCCTAGCATTGACCAAGTGTACGCGGTCGAGTTTCTATCGCAGTTGTCATCTCGCTGTTTTTGTACGGATGCAGGCTTACGAAATCGCGAGGTGCATCGTTAAGCCGGCATCGTTTGACGTTATATAGATACAAAGTTCCGTTCGATTCTTTTTAGTTAAAAAGGTAACATCTTGCAGGCATAGGCATATGGCAGGTGTGGAAGTAACGTGCAATTGCTGTATGCCGGTGTGGTAGCCTCATATAGGTATCAAGAGCCGAGTATTACACGCTGTTTCGTCTCGCCAGAAAGCTCCTCGCCACCGCTACCGTGCCCCCGCGACTCACGTTTGCTGTCCTCCAGCGCCTGGCGCGTCTCCTTGTGGAAGGTGTCCAGCCCGGGCCCCTTCTTCACCGTCTTGATGGTGGTCGTGCTCGAGCCGTCGTCCAGCGTCTCGATGGTCTCCGTCGTGATTATCTCAATCTCCGGGTGCTGAAACACGTCCAGACATTAGTTTAAAGTTGAGCTTTGATAGAGGAAGAATTCTGGTAAATTGAGTGGTTTGATGGCATTTAATGCTCATTTGCCAGCGACTGTTGAGCTAGGGCACTTACAAGAGCGTATCTAAATCCCGTTTCAGACTTGCACGATGTATAAATCTGCAGGTATTTTAGTTACATCATTTTCGTCTCGGTGTGCTATCGGCTATCTCTTAGAAAGACCGACCGACGGTTCATCGTGATAGTGTCACACTGGGTGTCCCTTTTTTATTCCGTGCCAAACGAGTTACTTAACATAGTATATCTCAAGGGCCCTCTCAGATGCATGCCATTGATAATCTCCAAATCACAGATACATACAAGTTCCGTAGACTGTACCTGCTTTGAGGCCGTGAGTGGTTGATAAATACCGATAGGGAACCAGACGCGAGTAAAAATACGGTATCTGCGGTGCAAGTGCTGTCTCGGTGCAATGGGATTCAAAGGCTGAGCCAAACAGGCGGTCTCGGACGCTGCGGAGGGGGGGAGGGGCAGACCCCCGAACAAATCGCCGACTTTGGAAAACTCGGATATCGATTCCTTTTGCACGGCTGTGCAGTTTAAAGCAAACTGTTTATGAATGGTGTGTGGTCTTCTTTCCTTTCTAGAAAAACGACAAATTTTCATCGGTTTCGGCCGCTGCGAGGTGGGCGTTTGCCCCAAATGTTGGATCCGCCAGTGATGGGATTTAGTGACCTCAGTTATCAGTTACCACATCACTGGTTTGCTCCAGCCGCCTGTGAGGCCGCCTGTGTGACTGCGTGCTGTAAATACCGACCGATATTGGCCAATTGCTGGCTCTGGCATACTGCACCCGAAAGAGCCCTGGACCTTTCAGAAGCTGATACCCGAGTAGCACCTATCAAAGCTCGGTTCATATGACTCAATGCTTCGGGTGTGCTATCGCCAAGGTCGGACTTTGTAAAGCCTTGTGTATGTAAGGCGAGGCACGTCAACACGCAGGTTTACCTTCTCCGCGTCAGTCTACATTGCTAACCTTGCACTCAGTCGATAACGCAAATAGGTGAGCTGGTGTCGCTACCACTTGCCGAAGGCTGCCGGAGTTTGCACAGCTAACCGATACAGGCGCCGCGCTTCAAACGACATGCGTGAACAGAGGACGTTAAATCTGCAGGTTCATTACTGGGATGTGTTTTTCGTCAGTTTATGCCTGTTCGGTTCCCAGGCTCATCTAACGGGCGTTGACACTTGGAGTGCAAATATTCGGCCGAAACGCGTGTTAGTCATACGTCTTACGGCTTATCGCTCCGACTATCTCGGTACGGGTATCATCCTGCTAGCGAAGCCCGAGCCAACAGCGCTGAGGGGCCGTGGTGCTGCACAGAGCTCACAGAGAGGTGGGTGTGGCCGAGGCAGAGCAGGGAGCGGCGGGTAGAGTGAAAGGGGAGGGGGCGGCGCTTTCTGATCGCAAACTGGTGGGCGGGCCGCTGTCCCGTAAAACAAGCAGTGAATCCGGCTGGGGCATTGTTCGGTGTGTGCTGAACTGTACTGCACCGAGCAGTACAGTTCTCGACAACCACCATACCCGTTGGAGCTTTCAGCCTAACAACTACATACCTACTGCCTGACGAATGAACGGTCGGGAGTGAGCAGAGTTTGGGTGAGCTAGAGTGAGCTCAGGTGGGCTGGGGTGAGCTGTGGAGAGCTGGGGTGAAATGAGCTAATCAGAGTTACCTAAACCGGCGGTGCTGAGGTTTCGGACGGCTGACGGCTGCCTTTGGTGATTGTTGGTGAGGTCATGGGGCAGCGGTTGGTTACCCGCAGGTCAGCAGAGGTCACTGAGGTCAGGAGAGGTCGCCGGGGTCAGCGCTGTCAGTGTCAGTCGGCTGTGGGTCGCTCTTGTGAGTGCTGAGCGCCGGTGAGGTGCGCGCTACAGCCGGGCTGAGGCGGGTCCAAGTGCGCAGAACTCCACGGCCGTATAACCGCGCCAGGACTCAATTGAGGCAAGTGTGGAGCCGAGCGGCGACTGCCGACGTTTTCCCAAGGCTGAAGCTCTTCCATCCTCCCCCTCTACCCCTCACCCCCGTTCTCCACCCTCCAGTGACCCCAAATGTCAAACTACCGAAGCAGTGAGGTCGCTGTAATGACGTAATTAGACGGTGGGACACATCGCGTGGTCTTGCTGGATCATCACACCCGCCGCGTCGCCCATTGGCGTCGGAGCTCTCAGAGCCCACGGTAGCGTGCACAGACGGCATGTGCAAACTGTGCATAGACGAGTACAGGCAGCCAGAGTGCCCCAAACAACACAGCAGCTCCTCCGTCCCCAGATCGTATCAGCGAGCACGGCGGGGTAATGTGACCGGCTGGTGGTCGCAGCATGTGCCTCGTTAACCCAATATCGCCCTGTATTTGACCGCGCTCGGTTAGAAGTTCACATACAGTGAGAGTTTGATGTGAGTATGATCGTGAGAAGACACGGATGTGAGCATGAACTTACGCTGCATGACTTTGAAGTCGGAGCTAAATGAAATACGAAGTAAGGTTATCACGCCGCCCGCAGCTGGATTTCCACGTTAGGGTCTACCTACTTCGTAAATTTAAATTATGTATATTCATGCATATGAAAGCAAGTTTACAGACCAGTATAAATCCTCAGTGACTGAACAGAACTTCTTTAGTTTATGGAATGAAACTTCCCTATAACCGTAGGCGTAGACTTTTCCAGCTGCGTATCCGTTTCCTTGAAGCCGACTCGTCTCCACGCCAACTGAACCGTGCTCAGTTCCAGGGTATGTAGGTCCTTCTGCTAAACACGTGCAGATGGACATATACAGTACCCACACACCCCGAAAACCTAGCCTCGTGACCCGGACGGTCTGGTCTCGGCGTGACGTGAGCGGGAGCTCTGCAAGAGCCGCCCCTGGAGCGCGGCGCAGATGGTCCGCCCACGCCTGGCTCACGACCTCCCCTTCCCTCCCCTCCGCTCCCCTCCCCTCCCCTCCCCTCCGCTCCCTCACTTCCTCTCATCCCGATGTGATCCGAAATAGGTCGGTAAGGCGCTGTACGAATACGATTTGACGCATAGGCATCACCACACTCTCTAGCTGCACTCAGCGCGTCTGTCTGTGCGTTGACTGTAAGTAGTCACTGATCTGGCGTCACGGTGCACGGCCTTGTGCACCGGCTCACGGTGGGAGCCGCGCGTGCAGCGATCACTACATCTGGCGGCCCGCGGCTCGCGTGATGATGAGCCGCGAGCACGGGATGGGCCGGCGCCCCGACCACCCGCCGTGTTTGGTAAACAGCGTCAACGTGTCTGTGAACCTGACAGGCGTGTGTGGCGTGTACGGTAACGGAACCTGATCGGCGTGAATACCTAGATGTATGTAGATGAGGTCTTTGCGGGTTATGGATTGAGGATAGCAACAGGTAATAGTGTGCGTTGTGTATCCCTCTGCTAAATTACCTGACTTGGTACGGAAAATATGTCAGCTCCGTGCACGATTATGGATACGGATTGCATTGAAGGAAAGCTTGCTGGACCTGACGGTAGCTAAGTATGCGAGTTAAAAGGCGTTAACTAGCCGGTCACGCCATTGAACGGTCCAGGCGCCCGCAGGAACCCAACATGTTTCCTAGCGTAAAGCATGCACAAAACATGGCCCCGGAATGTTGAGCAGTGTGCATCTAGATTCAGTACATGATATTAAGTTCATCCAAACAGTGATCTCAGTTTATCGTTTGCCAAACTACCAACGATAAGACCCACGATGGTGGCCCACATATGTCCAGATACCCCTAAAACCTCGCTCGGCAACAGACCCTAAAACCGCTCAATTAACCCTATTAGTGGCAGGCTCCTGGCTACCCCTATTAGTGGCAGGGGGGGGGGCTGTTTACGACCCCCCCTGATATCTCGAGATCTAACGGGCCAATTTTCAAAATTCAAACGGCATTCGATTTCGCTCAACGTGATCTACATTTCTTATGAAATAAAAATTAAAAATGTCAATAGGGGGGTAGAGGGGCGTAAAACGGGCAAATTGCAGATACATTTTAGACTGTTTATCACGGCCAGGTTTCTGAACCAATCTTAACGCAACTTTTGCCGATCGATAGAGAATGAACCAGGAATTCACATGGATCCTAAAAATATGCATTTTCAAAAAACATAGGCGGATACAGATCATTGAGATTGGGGGTACACAAAAAGTATAGTAAATAAGGTTTTTGTTGGTACTGTTTCTAAAAAGGGTGGTTATGGTCTTGTTATGTTACAATTTTCTTATGAGAGAACGACTACAATTGTATTGGTCATGCATAGGCGGTGTCAGGGCACCTATGTTGGGAGGTAAAACATAACCCCCCTTTTTGGACGCCTGGATCCGCCTATTATAGCAAAAACGTGTCAAAAGAGGATGCACAATAACTTTGTATATGTTATCACATGATACCTTTCATTCACTGTTCGTAAAACTGGTGCATACAGTTACAATACATCAGCATCGTGATCTTCGCCCAAATGACTCGCTTCACGAATAGGACCCCGCAATTCCCAGTGCTCTGGAGCCGCCCCTGGTAAAGTTATGAACTTGAAATTTTCAGGGAATGTGCCCAATTTAGTTTTAGGAAAAGTCAGAAAATTTCAGCATCGTAGCTTCAACGGTTTCGGAGATATTCCCGAAAAACCTGAGGGGTGGATGAAAACAACCCCCCCTGCCACTAATAGGGTTAACTTTCATCTGAATACGGCAAGAAAGCGTGCTATCTTATGACTCTCTCACGCTGTGAATATGCACTCGTCGAGTGATTTAACTCTCACGGTCAGGATATAAACATGGGCTCCCTGTCGACTGAATGTTTTGTCGGCTGCGTGGGAGTGTTTTGGATGAGCCCGGGGCAGCCCTCAAATCTGGGCCCTGTTTTGCCATCGCTCAAATGTGGGTCCCGTTCGGTGAATACTCATTTGTTTATCGCGTTTGTAAGGGGGCATGAGACAGCACTGGAAAGGACACAAGACGACAGTCTTCTCTGGAAGATGCACGGCCACGGGGGGGGGGTCACTCGGCTGTGAAGGGGACACGGAGTGACACTTTTGGGTCCCGAGACGCGGTAGAGCACTCACTCGTCTGTGGATCCCGTTTGTGGGGTCGGGGCGCCACTCGCTCTGGAAAGGACACGGGTTGGCACTTGCCTCAGGAAGAGACAAGGGCGACACTCACTCACCTCTTTGCTCCGTTTGGACTTTGGATGGACACGGGGCGGCACACACCCGTCTGGTGGAACCAGTGGCACTCACCGGGTCTTGTTTTGGCCGCCTAGGGAGCTATACTCACCTGGGGGTCCCGTTTGGCGGCACGGGGATCTCCACTCACCTGGGGGTCGCGTTTGGTGGAGGTCTTCACCTCCTTCTTCACCACGGACGGCATGGCGCTGCTCCGGAAATCCAACCACCTGGGGGAGGCGGCATCGAGCGTCAGCGTGCCGCCCGAGCCGCTCACAGGGAGCTGTCGGTGCGCTCGGCAGACGGCCGACATGGTGACGGCGGCGCGACGGTGCGCTCTCTGCAGCCGCCGACACCGGACTGACTGCCGCCGCGTACTGCACTGCTCTCTGCACAGCCCGCCGCCCGCCGCGCGAGGTCGCCGCACGCTCCAGTGCCTCCTAAACACCCCGGAAGGCGAGCCGACCGCGCCGACCGCACTGACACCCAGAGGAAGCGCAGCCGCGGAAATGGCCGCCACGCCGAATTCAGGACACGCTAATGTAAATGGTATGACGGGACTGACGTAGAACGTATACATATGTGTGAGACCAAGCGAATACTCGGACACGTACCGCTGTTTTTATTGAATAATTAGAGCAGTCGGTGGACCAGACACCAGTGACCATGCCGATCTACCAAATCATCCTCTGATAGGAGTTTGGGCAATTGATCCAGATAAGCCATTTCTGGCAGACTATCCCGAGTCTCTGCTGATACTATTGGGTTAGCTGTTGTATTTAGTGGCTGACCCGCAGCGGCAGCCGACGATGGACAAGTGAAGCGGCGGTCCGCAGTGTTATGGGCGGCTGGTGGAAAACCGAGCCGCGGGGCGTTCCACAACATGCAGCCGCCGGCAGCTGTTTGGTTTGTTTGCTTGCAACCGAACAGTGGATGGAGGAGGGCGGTTGGTTGTTATCTCATATTCTTTCCTAGTCGTGGACATACACGGATCGTGATGGTCGTAAGTACAATTGATAAGGAATTAAAACGTTTTCTCAGTAAATAGAAGGAAAAAATCAAATTTATTCCGTGATCTTCTGGGATGCATTTTAAACTACAGGATGGCAGCGAAAGGGACCGGGCCTATTTTTCGAAACTTTGACGATTATCTGGCTGTTTTCTGTCATCCCAGCACAAGTTATGTCATGCACTCACGGCAAACAAAGGTTTCTTTTCGTGCCGGCTGTCTCAAGCCGTTCATTGTCTAACTAGTTTCCAGACGACGTCACTTCTCCGGCACATTGCTGCGGTCACGCGGCTCGAACCCGAGCTGGTCGGCGGCCGCAGTGCAGTCACATGTTCCTGATTCACCGTCTCGTCCCCAGCTAGGAAACGAAACTCCTCCAGTCCGCCCCTCTCCGCTTACCCCCACCTGTCCACAACCTGCCATCACATCTTCTTCGCTCTTAGAGTTCTAAAATCACAGCACACAATCATATCCCAAACCGTCACCTGATGAGTGAATTCACCCCGGTCAGTGGGCGGCCGTCATGAACAGCCCGCGATAGCTGCAAACAAACTTTGCCCGGGCGGCACTCCCGGGCGGCGGAATGCAATCTCAATCGCTACCGTGCAGCCTCCTCATAAGCACGAGATTGGCCTATTTAGATAAGTGTGGCTCAAATTGCGGCCGCCCAGCCCACTAACGGTGGGCCGATTGCAGAGGCACCGGCCGGCAGTGCGGCTTCCGCCCCTTGCTCCCCGCTAGCCGCCTGACTTACGCCGGCCTCGTGTTTCCTCTCATTCTCCGCCGCTGTCTTTATATCAAGTAATTACTCAGACGAGGGAGCAGATAAAAACAGCATGATGCATGGACCGATAGACGTGCAGCGCGACTTCTGGGTGGGCTTATCACGCGCGGATATTTGTCATCAGCTAATTGGGTTGATGCAGCCGCCCACCGGTCAGTGCACAGTCGTGCTCCGTTTATGGCTCAGAGCTTCTGAGCGTGGCGGGACAGCTAATGGACTTCTTATGTAGAACGTCTTGCAGCTTGGGCACCGTAGGCATGCCTACAGTGAACGTGAGCTACCTAAAGTGTGCGACTTTCCTGTTTCATTTAGCGCTGCATGGTGATGTCTATCTATAATTATATTCGTTCGTCATCAATACTTTCTGTATCTGACAACATTTTATTGTAAACGCGATTAAGTTATTTGAAGTTTCTTCCCTTCTGTGAGATTCCTATACGACAATGCGTGGATGGTGAGTTGGCATTACATTGGCACGGCTAGTGTGCAATGGGACTAAAGAAAAAGTCGGACACAAAGAACCAAGTAACAACACCGGCCATTTGTAGATAAAGCACACGTTTCACGATCCTTCCGAGTTAGTGTTTGCAAGGCACTATCATCGGCTTCTCGAGGGTCGGTTGCGCATTATCTGATACTGCCCTACCCTGCCACGACCCTCATTCCTAATGGTCCGCCCTCACGTCCGTGCATATCTTCATCACGAGCATTTCCCGAGGGGCGGCGAAGCAGGGGAGACACGCCCGGCCCGGAGGACTGGCCTATCATATCGACTGTCACGCACAGTCGCCGACCGATGCACGCACCACCCGACAAACAACAGGGCCAAGGCGATATATCGAGAGCCAGACGCTAATATTGAGGGCCGGCCGGCAGACCGAGCGGGATCACCACACCACCGCTACAGCCGACACACTAATCCAGTCAACCGGTGTAAAAAGGCGGATCTCGCTGACGAAATATGCGACGTCCGTGCGTTTTTGACAGAAGCCTGCCCTCTAGCTGGACTATTTACGGAACAGGGCGCCTGTGGAGAAAACAGCGCAGACACCAGCTGCGGAGGCGTGCATTGCAGAGGGCAAAAATAAATGTTACAGTGCCGAGATAAGTGTTTCAGGAAGCCGACACAGACATAAGAGATGAACGAGGCCGTACGGAGTAGCTAGACGGAGTAGCGTCATTCGCCCGTGAACTTATACGCGGCAGATGTGATGGAGCATCATTTTAGTTGCCGCCCTGCAGACTCTAAAAAGCTCCGTTCAGAGCTGCTCTCGAGCTGTCTCGTCAGGCACATCAGACAGTTGACGTCCGCTGGTCGAGTGTGCGGCTCACAGGGCCGTTTGTGGGCCGGTGCCGAGTCCAGAGACTGTCTGCACGACTCGGACTTTGTCGCACCGTGCTCCATGTGGAATTTCAGGGATTGGTTCACGGTACTTCAGCCGTGTCTCATTTCCACAGAATGTTTCTTGTTCCACTAGCATTTGTTCTTCATGCGTCATTTCATGGCGTCGTAAAAATCTTGTTCTGTGCGAACCAGTAACCACAATGAACACACATCGCATTCCGATCTCCTTACAAAAGGTATGAACCAGAGACTGCGCTTAGAGCTGATGACTAGCGAACACATGCAGTCCACATTTCAGTCTGACCAGTCTGCTGATGCTGACAGCACTCTTTTGTTTGCAGTCTGGGACTGGGGCTCCTCATCAGTCTGCCGATTGCTGACTAGTGACTACGCTGTTTAGTTCTGTCTGTGACTGGGACCACAGTCTGCCGACTGCACTGACCCAAATTCTGCAGCTGAGCCGACCATTCTCCGCTGACCATCTGTGCGACGTCCACCCCACTGCCCAACTGCGCTGATAGCCCTGACGCAGCTGCCGGTGGGCCGGTCCGGCTCGGACCCCGCTCGCCCACCGCCCGTCCCCGCCTCACTGCTACAGCTGAGAGCCGGCCACCGGGCACCTCAGCGGTCCCGGAGACGGTCGGAACGCCAGCGGCTGCGACAGTGGCGACAATTGCGACAAAGTGCCGACGGCAGCGTGCACCGTCTGATGCCTGAGGGGTCAGAAGGTCACCCAGCGAGGGCGCACGTGCTGATGAGTTCACGGGGCCACGAGTGTGAAATGTGACCGTTGCGTCACGGCAGATGATTGTGACTCAGATAATCCACGTGATGCGTGATCCGCGTCGTCGGAGTAGGAAATGCATATTAGTACTTTGGATAATGACCCAAATGTGCTACTGAGCTGTGAACGCTTAGGTCGGTTGCAATTTGCAACGGATGCAGAACTCAGGCAACAATGACAGGCAAATGACGTTGCCTGCAGTCCGCATACCTTTCTAACCTGAACACAATGAAGGCTAACTCGCTGCAGAGAAAAACAAACAGCCGAGTCATCGAACTGATGTGAGATACAATAGACAATGATCTGACAAAGCGCGAACTAGAGATGGATTTGCTTCGCAGGTGATTGCTCAGGATTGGCTCGGCCATGACCAGACCCAACATGGATATTGAGCTGGGCATGAGCTGAAGCACGAAAGTACGCGTCGGTATATGGACATTGCGGAAGAGAAATGAAGGCACCGGAAATCATACTTCCGCTTAAGATACTAGACGGAAGGTCGTAACTCTAAGCTTTATTTAATAACTGTTGAGGTTATTACTTCATTTAAGTTGCCGCGACACGGTGAAATTGAAGTCTCTTCGATTCCGTTATCAGCTATCAAGTGGGTCCCGTTCTAGCAACGTCCTAACGGCTTATCGGACAGTGGTCTGATAGTGGTATGTCCGTCCAGTGTCCCATAAAATGTCAGCTGGTGTCATTCAGTGTCAAAAAGTGTCAGTCTGTGCACACACTTTCCGATCCATTCATGCCACTTGTGTCATATGTCGTCTGACGTGTCTGTGCATACCACAGGCGTGTTACCGGTCTGTGAAGTCAGTGTCATGTGGTGTCATGCGTCTGCAGGCACGGGATTTGGTGTCAGTCAGCGTCAGGTGGTGTCATGTGTCAGCTCGGTGTCAGTCAGTGTCAGTCAGTGTCAGACGGAGTCCCTGTGTGTCAGTCTCAGGCGCCAGACGATGTCATGTGTCGGAGCGCGGTGTCAGTGTCAGACAATGTCGGAGCTCGATGTCACGGAGCCCGTTTCCATGTGTCGGAGCTCGGTGTCAGTGTCAAGCATTTAATCACAGCTCGGTGTCAGTCGGGGTCGTCCCGGACTGGCACGTTTCACGGCCACCGGCGATCAATACGGCACAGACACTGCGAGAGCTAACGACCCTCTCTCCCTCCCTCTGCCGAGTCGGGCAGTAAGGCCGACTCCCGACTCAGCCCGTACAGTCCAGGCGAATAAACGGCCAAATTGACTCCCCGTGGTCCCCGACCGGGAGGCCGGCAAACATTGCTAGCAAAGCGCCCGTTAAACGCCCGGCCGTTTCGATGAAATCGCCTTTTATGGAGCCATGAGCTCCTGAGAATTGTTGCGACCATCGGGCTTGCTTTAATTTAACAAACCTTCACTGATAATGAAGTGGAATGTGCCGTGGAATGTTCTTTTATCGTGCAGCCCTCACCTGTGCATCGACTCCTTACAGCCAGCCTCGGCGCCCGTTTCTCGACCGCCGTAACTATGCAGCTCTGAGCGGCGGCCGACGGCGCGGTCCGACCTCAGGCGTCCCCCGCGGCACTGCCGGGGGTCTCCCGGCCGGCGGGCACAGAGCGTGGCGCGCACGCGTTCCTCTGCCCCCGACCTGACAGAGGTCACCCGGGCCTACCGGACGAGACTTGGGGAGGGCAAGGGACAGACTAGTCGCAGCAGCCCTCTTTGATCGACTGTTCATGTTTTGTAAGCAGTCCTCTGATTTCGTGGCGTCGGCTTACTTTGTGACGTCAGTAAATCATAAACATTATACTCGGCGCGCATGTGGATCAATTGCGGCGCATAAAACACCGGGAAAATAACGGCAAAAAACGGCAGGGCACGCGTCTGTTCAGAATCGCGTGTCGCTGGTGCTTCCAGTGACAACAGGCCGAGGTGGAACAAAAAGCGCCACTGTTTCACGGCAATCCGTGAAAAACTGCCCTGACCTAAGATTGACGTGAAATGAGGCGAATTTCCGAAACTAGCCACAATTCAGGGGCGGGACCAGGCCGTGGGAGTAAAAACTGACCTTACACGTCCGCAGGAATGTTGCAAGGAACTGGAAGTGGTCGCGTGATCGGACCTCTGGCCAACAGAGAGGCCAAATAATGACCTCGGCTTTTACGATCCTGTCCACTTGTTGGCTGACCACGAGAGACGCGACGCGAGATGGTTAGAATCACATGCAGATAGTTACTTGTCTAAACTGCGTACACGAGCTAGCCGGTCGCATTTAGGGCAGCTATTAGCAGTGAACCGTTATATACCTGGTAGACGACCATTTCCGTGACGTCATAGGGAGAATTCGTGCTGGCTGACCAGTGTCCACTACCTATCGTCAGAGGCAGTTGCGCTGCAGATGGCTATTGCCTATCGTTGAGATAAGGCCAATGGTTAGCGATGATGTTTAGATTAGGTATTGCTACTCCTAGAGGTAAACGCTAAGAGGCTGCCCTTCCCTAGAGGCATCTTGATGACATAATTACATGATTTGCCAAACAAATGGACAGCAAATTGTCACCTTCAGACGTTGGTTTACCAATGTGAATTGCAGGCTAGTACTCCACTGTGAATAAACCGTTTAAACGTCATCATCCGAAGAGAAGGCGAAAACCATTTTAACACCTGTCGATGTTTGCCGTCGGTTCAAAAATGGCCGGCGTAGGTACAGTCCACAGCAGAAGTAATGTGGGGTTTCAGTCATGGGTATGTTCTGCTTCTGAAGCTTAGGAACGATTAGCCAGACTACAATGAAACTTTGAATGTAGCTTATATGTATTGTCACCCTTGCAGCTGCAACTTTAGCTATTGACATCTTATTTTCGATCACTCCGCATTAAACAATCGCCAGTCAAAGCCAACCGTTGAGATTGGTAAAACCCTACATTACTTTAGCGGTGGGCTGTACCTACACACGTAGTTTACAAAATTAATGTAACAATGTTAACTGAGCTAAGGGCTATCATTCACCGTTGTGTAACAAATGTAGGACGATTGACGTTTAGTGTACGGCAAAAAGCCGTCCGGAGCCAACATATCGAGACGGACGCGGCTCACGCCGGACGAACTGCGGTCGTTTTTCTGACCCACTTCAGTCCTTCACAGTAACTGGAGCTTGTTTGACCTGAGATAAAAACTCTGAAAGCTGGTGCAAAGCGTGAATAGTAAATGATACACAAAGCAATTGGCACATGGACAGAAGAACGAAATGAATAGCATAAATGCTCATACAAAGGACCATTCTCTGTTGCATCGATTTCGATGAGCATCGCTACATTTTGGGGAGTGATATTCGCTGCATTGATGACCTGAGCGTGTTGCTTTGCGGGTAGGTATATCCGGTCATCCGGTCAGCCCGGGACTGTTTTTCGATGAATTTCAGTTTGTGCTAATGAAAAATATCGGCCAAAAATGATATACCTAATTTAGGAATTTTGCTAATAAGCGTCCAGATCCGGACTTTCCTGGCATTTTGTGCATCCGATAGTAGGACGGGCTTACCACAAAATGCTCAATCGCACGATTAGAGCTACGAGTACCTACCTTTATCTGGTAATCTTTGTAGTTAATTGAATTGATTTGACAATTTACATTTTACCTACCTAAGGCTCGGCCTATACGGACGAGGTATATCATATGTAATTTGAATACTTTTTTACAACGTCATGTGTGACCTTTTACAGTGATTCGGCTTTTACAGCTTTCACTGGGATTCCCAAGCTAATTATCGTTATGTAGGCTGTAACGGACACTCATCCGCGCTTCCATTATCTGAAAGGTTTAAAATCAAATTTTAATTCCCATTAGGGCAAAACGCCGTGTCAGTGCGGCCCTTCCACAAATGATGTTGTGAAGCCGAGGGATAGATACTATATATTTAAGAACCCCTTTTTTATTTAATGGGGCTTCTGTCTCCGCCTTGCGCCCATCGTCATCTAAAATTACCACTAGAGCTTCAGACATCCTTCTTCTCTCAAACTGTCTCAAGCCGTCTCTAGCGGCTTCTCGCTCCAACACCCGACCTCTCTCATCTGCTACGCCCCAGCTCCGACATCCGGCCTGAAACGATCGCCACCTCCTCCACCATTCCAGTCTCGAACTGCCCCCACTCCCACCGCTCCACCCTGTTAGACCAGAGTGCCTCCCGTCCTTACCTTTTCTCGGGAGTCTGCGCTGCGCGTGCGGCCGGCGACTGCGTGTGGGCACCTCTGGCGGGGATCCGGCGCTGTCTGTACCCCGCATACGACCGGCCCACGCCACACTATCGGTGATACACTTATCTGTGATTCAGGCCACGACACCGGGGCGTCAACGCCCACCCCCGGGTGCCACCACGCACCCGGGGACGGCGCTCATTGAAACCTGGTCCTGCTAAAAAATGCTCATGATCTGTACCTATATTCCGCCTGACATAGCTGCGTACAGTTAGGTACTTGAAATTCAACCTTATTCGTTGCCCTCATTATCAATATTTTTGTGTATGACAAAATGTAAGATCAGAACGTAATTGAATATCTGTCTGATTTGATCCAAACACATGCTCGAAGCTTAAAATGGCTTACGATTGATAATAATATGCTGTTAGCGTGCAATATATTTCACAATGGTTCACAGAAGCAATGGTATAATGGGTACGAGTACGACCGTATGGTTGCTGACCGCAGTCTGCTAGACGTGTGGACTGACGTGTGTTCACTCTGATAGGACCAGTCTCCGCCTGCAAAAATCTGGATTATGTAGTCCATTTGTTATACCGTCCATCGTACATCATTCATGTTCCATGTGCGGTTTTCTGTAAATCATAGTCGAAGTTTTGTAGGGCGATTCTTGAACATGAGTCATGCAGGCTTGACACATCACACACGAGAAAGGTAAGAGCACAACATAAACGAATGACGAAAGCACTCACACGAACAAGATAGGACCCTGCCTACTTATTTAAAGTAGAACGGTACCAAACAAACACCAGTAGGTCATGTTCTATAAATCATCCTAACTTTGGCAAAGCTTATTTGTTACTGCCAGCTTCTTATAAAATTGTTTTTTCCTTGCCTCGACATTTATCCGAATGATTATTAATACAAGGCACAAATGTGTTGAACAATTTGTATGCCATAAAATGTTTTTCCTCTGGTCTTTTCCTTTTATGAAAAAATTCATTGAAGTGATCTTTTTGTTACAAATTTAGCTCGATTGTTTCAATGGACGACTTGACAGTTGACGGAGTCGGAGGCTCGGAGCACACGGCTAAGCAGAGCTTGTCGCGCAGACCCCGACTCCTACCGTCCGATCGCGCAATTTCTGGTAACGGGATAATTTAGACGCCAAAGTTTAACGAGTTGAAATAACGCCAAAGCTAAGCTCATCAAAGCAAGACAAGGCCTGTCCCACTCAACTGGCTGTGGTTGCTCCCACCAACTGCAGGCGATCCCCGGTCACTGAGATGCATCAAAAGTAGTCAATTACGGGGTAGAAGGGATGGGGCTACCCAGCAAAAAAGACCGCAGGCCAATCGGTCCAGCGGTTGCTGAGATATAAGGCTCTCAAAAGCGTTACAGGCCGGGCCGGGCCGGGCCGGGCCGCTCATACTGAGATTTTTCCGTTATATTGAAAAGACTCGGTTCGCTCGCTGCGCTCGCTCGCTCGTAATAAAAGTCGTATCGTGTGTTCTTTCCTTTATCAAGGATGTTGGCAGGATGTATTCGTTAACAGTCCCTCGGATATTCGCCGACCATCGTCACTGATTGGCATACTTGAAACCAAAGTAAGCGATCAAACTTCAAAGGTGGCATCCCTTCCGGCTATTTCAACCTCTGCGAATGACAACGGAACCTTTCACAGTATCTGGCCGCTGACCGGATGGATTATAGAGCTGCGCCGCGACTTCTTGAGTCGTGCAGTGACATCAGACGCAGATGGTATATCGGACCACTGGTTCAGCGGGGTCGCATTCCTCGCGTCACTATCAGCTCACGGCATTATCTCGCCTGAGCCGGACTAGTCGACGACGTGGAGCGCCGCGATTCGTCGAAAGACGCAGTGAAATATATAGCACACGCTAATCCGCAGGCTTCCGATATAGGAATTGAATCATTCATGACAGGTGTAAAATGAATAATCCGATCGTAAGATAAATGTGACAATATTTGAATGGCTTAAAACGTTTTTAGCATAATTATGAGTATAATTGTAGTTAGAATCTGGTAGGTATCTTACATCCTGCATCTTGTAGAATAAATGATAACCTTTTGCTCATAACTAAATAGTTACATTTGTCATTAAATTGTTTAAATTTAAATTATGTATCTTTTTTTAACTGAAGCTAATTTAATTACATTAAGTTAAACTAATTTAATTTGTCCTGTTTCAATCTCATCAGAATTGAGACCACCGAAGTAAAATTGATTTACTCTTTGGCGCAGAGGATTGCGTCAATTTCATCGACATCTTCGCCTGCCGAAGGCTGCCGCAATATGCCGTTCTTGCCGCTAGATGGCAGCAGCGGTAGACGCCTGCATCTATGCTGTGCCGCATCACCCACACTACTCGCTCCCGGGCGACGACTGCTGCCAAAGGCACAATGCGTAGCTGATACCGGGCAGTGGACTGAACGATTCTGTTCAACCTTTCAGTGAATATGTGCGTTGTTTGCACAGCACACAAATACAGTAGCCCAAGGTTCGATTCCACCTGTACATACCAACTCCCCACCAAGGTCTCGGGGCCGATTGCGGCCCGCTCGGCCCCCACGCAGTACAACTCCTTGTCGCAGTTCCCTGTCAGGAAGTGATTGACGATTGCCCGATAGCCCGGGGCGCGGAGGCGACACAGCGCCCGCGGCAGTCTCGCCACCCGCCGAGACGCCCTTGACGCCCGCCTGCGAGGTGCCCCTCCCCTCCCTCCCTCCCCACCGCGCCCGCTGGCCGGCTCACATGGGAATCGCCGTCCGCTGGCGCGCTGATCCGGCTCCCGATACGGTATCACATCGAGCACACGGATCGCACGGATAGCGGCTCTGTCGGAGCCCCTATCACGCGGTGTCGACGCTGCGTGACACAATGACACGGTGGTACGGTGGGCGGAATCCGGAGGGGTGGGGGAGGGGGCAGGTGCCGGAACGCGGGATGCGCCGCCCGGTTATGCCCTACTCTGGTGTGGTCCAAAAGATTCACGCTGAAATGACCGTACGGAAGGTTAAGGTGCAGATACGGCATCAGAAATAGACGTGAGGAATGACGCGGAATGGGCCAACAATGATTTAAAAATAACATTTAACACGCTGAACGAGTCGGCGAGTCTTATTATGTCCCTTAATTTATGGGATTTGCTAAATCGTATGCTAAAGGTAAGTTCAGTTTAAGGCAAGCTACGAAAGGATCATGAAATGGAATCAAAATCAAAATTCGTGTCAAATCAAGAAAAACGCTCAACTCTTTCCGGTCGAAGGGGGAAAGCCGAAGGATGGTGTCAAGTCTTTTTTACGGTTTTCTCGCAACTGCTCGTAACACTTTGGCGATAGAAAGCTGAAAAATTGTATTTTCTTCTTTTAATTCATGCCGTATCTTCTTATACCAGCTGCATTTTCGGGTCAGGCTAGGCCACTGACATGACATAAGTGAACCCCTGCACGGTCCTAAAATAGCGCAACTTCACAGCACTGGCAGTGCCAGGGAATCTTTCACAGGGAAATGAGACTAGGACTTAGCGACCTTCCGAGCCCTCGCAACTTGCATATAGTTCTGATTTTTTCACTCTGGAGTGGGTACCTACCCAAAAGGTCGGTCACGTGACCGTCATGTTACCACATACGTATAAATTACGAGCGAGTGCAGAGCGCGAGGTGAGTCAATTTTCAATATAACATAACGGAGAAATCTCAGTGGGAGCGGCTCGGCCTGTAATGCCTTTGGCCCTGGAATCTGAAAATAGCCGTGAAGGATAACTTTATATGGTAGCGTATCTGGCAGCCTTTTTGTATACGGACCTGGCGTGTCTGTGACGTACTTGAACCAAAACAATGGAAACGCGCAGGCAACGCGCAGTGCCATTGCAATTGGCATCAAAATAGTTTGTGAATGGATTATCGTTTGACATTTTTGAGATATTGTACCTTTGATTTTGATTATTGATCCTGGAGGCATAAATAAGGTTCTACGGGTATCTATTTTAGAGCAGGCACACGGCTTGTGAGCGATCTTGGTTCAAGGTCGAGGGAAAACCAAAAGTTCCTTTGTCTCCAAGGCTTTTGCCTTGCCTGCGCGCCCTAACTCTTCAACAACAACATCCAAGGCTTTTGCTTTGTATCAGTTTAGAAACGTTGGAAACAAGGTGAGTGATCTTGGATCAGTAGCGGCGGAACACCTTCAATTAAGGGGGGCAGGGGGGGGCACTGCCAACTTTTGGTCCCATTCTTTCCATGCAACGCCCATAGGGCTAATGTTAAAATGCCAAATTCAAAGGGGTTAGGGGGCAAGGTGCCCCGGTGCCCTCCCCGTTCCGCCGCCTATGTCTTGGATGTGTTCGACTTGAGGTGCCTGCATTGATATGCAGCCTGTTGCTGAGCTTATCAATGTCATTGTACCCATGTGGCTGCTGTTGGCAGTTTATATTATATCGATTGCACAATTGAGTTAAAAATTTTGGGGAGCAGGGGCCACTGCCAGTTTTGCCAACCGAAAAATAGCTACGTTCCGGAATTTTTTTGTCATAAGAAGACCGCTTCACATATGGAGAGTAAATGGTAAGCCCTATCCTCTTACATCTACATGCCCATCGCGTTAATGCTCCATATGTGAAGCGGTCCTAAGGCAAAAAAAAAAATCGGGCAGGCAGCTATTTTTCTGTTGGTAAAACTGGCCTCAGATCAAGACAAGTTGAATCAATGTAGGTAAATACTAAATATGTATCAAATTCAAATGCAGGCTACAGTTCAGCAATTTGTGCACTTTCCAAACTTTCAACTGAGCTGAAATACTTTTGGTTTCATTAGTTGTTTGTATTTATATGGTAATACTTTAAAAAACTGCAATAATTTTGAATTGTAAGATTCTTACATAATTATGATGTCATTGACCGTTAAAGCACTATTCATTGTCATCTTATCTTTATCTTTGCCAGTTCAAGTTTCTTCTTAAACTGTTTTAAAGGGACTGAATGCCTTATAAAATGTCGTACTTTTGTTGCTTTTTGCCATTTAAGGTAATTTTGAATTGCTGAACTGATTTGGAAAACTTTGACCCAATGCACTCTTCAGCTTCATTACCTACTTATTAGCTATTTTACTATGACGTGTTGAATAAGTTGCTAGTTTTCATTCAACTCTAGATCTTAGATAATATCTAAGATTTAAGTAGTACCTGTGACAAATAATTCAAAGTCAACTCTGCCCCTACAGTAAAAAATGCCTATCTGTGTCGAATAAGTACAATTTGTCATTTTTGGCATTGTAGTGGTAATAAGCTCTGTTTATTTTATTGCCTTTTATTATTACCTTTTTGTAATAATTATTTGTACTAATTAACTGCCAGCCTTGCACCATTTTGGCTTCTCTTTATTTGTCGATATATTATGTTATAGCTCGACCTGGACCCTTCTGGCAGGCAGCAGCGTATGGCTGCAGTACAGTGCTGACATCTATAGCTGAAATCCAAAAGCATCAGTATGTATGGCAATCACAAGAGATCAGCTGTGCTCATGGTGAAAGTACTAAGCAGTGACCTGATGTAAACTAACAAAGGCAGGAGTCACTCCAACTCCAGTTGAAATGCCCTTCTCAATGGAGTGCTTGTAAGCGTTCTGCAAATTACTGCCGGCGTATCTCACTCAGCTTTGCATAATAGTCTTCCAAGTGCAGCGCAAAGACGCGACCCAAATATCGGCCCGCCCAGCTTGCGTTGCTCGGACTTGCGTTTGTTTCAGATCGCCCTGCTTTACCAGCCTCACCATATGTGTGAAGCTAGAATGAAGGTGTTAATGTCGGTCTAGCACGCTGGGCTCAAGGAGCCATAACGATTTCCTGGAATGTTCAAGATTAGTTTATAACTGGGACCCTTTCACTTGTGTAACAGTAACGAGCGTCTCGATGTTCTGATCACTATCAGGCGATATCTGGCCATAATCCTCGGCTAGCAATACTCGTTGATAGTTCAGCGTTTGACTATGCTCTTAGGATGAAGATATCTGAGAGACTGTTGTAAGCGCAGGTGTTTTATTAAAACATAACATTGTTGGTCGGTGAATATTCAGCTCGTGAGACATTATACAGTAGCACACACTGTCATGAGCTCATATTCCTCATCAGACGTAACCTATGCTTCATGACAGCAACCCAACTATGCATAACTGGCGTTTGTCACTTAACCATTTCAAAATCACTTTTACTACTCGGTCATCTGTGCCATAGCCAGCCAATATTCCAGTTCCAAGCTCTTTTGGAGAGCACATCACCATTCACCTTGCACGGGTCCCGGCACACGGTCACGTCACCGCTCCTCTGGTTCTGGCGCAGTAACACGACTTATAGTGACTCAGTTTTATCCGCCTCTTCTTAGATCCGCTGTGCTCTTGTAACACAGCGATCATTCTACACGGTCCCGCTGCGGTCTCGTAGCTAATTGGTCCGCCACGGCGCGGCTAACTGGTCCCTTCGCGCAGCGGCCTTTCACATAGCACATGGTTGTCCTTTCATATACACCCGTCACACGGTGGTCCCGTTACTTGAGTGCTCCGTCATTAGACCGCCGCGAGGATGCCGTTGCAATTGTTCCGTAACAGAAATCTTTTATAAGACCGGCACTGCAGTGATCCATTCACACAGCGACACAGTGTTTCCGTCACTTTCTGGTCTTTCACATAGCCACACATTGGTCCCACCGCGCACGTCTCATCACATGGTCCCGTCATGAAAGCCCCGTCACACGGTGTTCCGTCACATCACCGCGCAGTGGTCTCCGTGCCGGCGCCCCTCCTCCCGGGCAGACCCGCCGGGGGAGCAGTGCACCGCGCCGTCCGCTGCCGGCTGCCGAATCGCCAGCTGCTGCCGGAGCTTCTCCGCCCGCTCGCTGACAGAAACCGGTAGCTGTCCGTCCTCCTTTCCCTCCGCCGGGGTAACAACACCTGCCGGAGCCGGGCCGGGCCGCTTCGGGATCTGGACGGCAGGAGAGGTCGGCCCGTTGTTAACTGCCTCCCTGGTAAGCGTTTCGAGGACGGCAGAGATGGGCGGCGCCGGGCTGAGTGAGGAGCTGCTGTCGATGGTGTCCTGGGTCGTGTCGAGAGTCGTGTTGGGCGAGGGGCTCACCCCGCGGCTGCTCGTGGCGACCGGAGGCGCGTCTCGAGGCGGTGGGGTGGGCGGGTTGTCCAGATATGAGTCGTGACAGTTCTGCTGAGCTGTCGAAGCGCCGCTACACAGCTCACTGTGCTGCTCGGGAGTGACCCCTCTGCTGGCCGTCGCTGGGGACCGCTCCCTCTCTCCCTCGCTGGGCGGAGTGTCGAGTCGTCTCCTCCTGCCGTGAGCCGCGCTGCCGGCGGCGGCGGTGGCCGAGCGGCCGAGCCGCGGGGTGCGCCGCGCCGGCGGCCCGTGCGCGGGGTCGTGCGACGGCGCCGCGGGCAGCAGCAGCTGGTCGTCGAGCAGCAGTGCCACGGCGCGCCGCCGCGCAGCGGACAGGTGGCCGGCGGGCGACTCGGGCCGCGGCGGCGGCAGTGGCGCCGTCAGACCCTCCAGCAGACGCGCCGTCGAGTCCAGCCGCCGCGGCACGGCCGGCCGGGGCGACTCGGACGCGCCGCCGTGCGCCGGTACCGGCGGCGTACCCTGCGACGGACTGGGAGAGCGCCGAGAGCGCGCCGAGGGGCTCCTGACGCGCTTCTGACGCTGCAGAGGCGGCCGCTTTCGGGAGCCGGTGGCTAATGGTGCTGGTGCCGAATCCAAAGGTACTGGAGCCGGCTCTGGCTTCAGTAGCAGAGAGGCGGGGAGCTCAGGTTTCGGCGGAAGGGACGCGGAGGACAGTACCTGATCGGGCGGCGCGGAGTGCTGCGGGACCGGCGGCGGCGACGGCGTCCGTTCCGGGCCGGCCGCTCCGGCCTCGGCAGCTGGTGGGGATGACTCTGACCCCTGAGAACCTCGGTCGGTTGGTTTGGTTGTAGTTTCTGTCGTGATTTGTAACTGAGTTACTAGTGCGGCTGGCTTGGGCGGCAGCGGCAGAGGAGGGCCCATGGGGGCGGGTAGGTTATCGAGGTCACTAACTGGAACGGACGCTGGAAGCAGCACCGCGGGGTTGGGTTCCAGGGCTACCGTTGGTTTTGGAGGAGCAGCTGATGCAAGCGGCGGGTTGCTAGCGGGTTCCGAAGACGATGGAATGTTTTGATTCTCAGTCGCAGGCGTATCCTCTGTCAGGGCTTCGGGAACGTCTGTTTTCTCTGCTTCTGAGACATCTGATTTCTGAGCCACAGTGACATCAGCTTTAGAAACGTCCGGGTTGTTTACCATGGGAGCCACAGGAAGACACGGCTTCAAGGAACCGCCTGAATTTTTAGGCGCAGGGGTGGGTGGTTTCGGTGGCAGAGGAACCACGAGCTTTCCTGAAGCGATCTCACTGGTCTTCACATGTGGAGGGAGCTCGGGCGGCCTCGGCACGGGTATGGCCGGCTTCGGTTTCACAGCCGCCGCCTGTTTCCCGGGCAGTGAACTGAACGTCTCGAGGAGGAGCGGCGGGGGCGGTGGCGGTAGCGGCGGCGAGGGCAGAGTGGCGGCGCGCGGCGGCAGGGCCGGCTCCAGCGGCAGCGGCAGCGGCGGCCGGCCGCCGCCCACCGGCCGCGGCGTATCATAGACCACCTCCTCCGGCGGCGAGCGGCGGCCGGCCACAGGCCGCGAGGGCAGGGCAGCCGGGGCCGACGGACCCCGCACGTGGACCGGCACCGGCTGCGGCCAGCGCGGCACGTCGTACTGCACCTCGTCCTCCGCGGCGGGAGGCGGCAGCGGCGCCGGCGGCCGGCACGTCCTGGCCGAGGCCGAGCGGCGCGCGCCGCCCTGCCGGCAGACCTGGGGCGAGAGCGTGGCCCCGCGCCGCGACCGCGACCCGGCCGTCAGACTCTGACTGCGCCGGACGTCCGCGGGGACGCTCCGCGCGCGGTGGCAGGCGGGACTGCGGTCGAGGCGCGATTCAGCCCCGATCGGGTCATTATTGACGTCCATGGTGGGATTGGCTTTTAGTCTACCTTGTCCGCTGGAAGTATCACAGCCCTCACCGAATCTGTCACCTTGTGTCTCGCTAGTAAAGCACCTGCCGCTTGTTATATCACTGATCCCAGCACCACTCGTTCCTGCACCACCACCATCACCACCGCCGTTGGCACCACCAGCACCACCATCACCCTTGGCGTTCTGGTTTCTCAGACTGTCATACAGAGTCTCGATCTCTGTGAACATTTCGTCGAGCGACATTTGCGAGTCGAGCTGCGGCAGCTGCCGGAGCGGCGGCTGCGGCGGCACGTCCGGCTCCTCGGGGATGGTCTCCGGCAGCGCCGGCGGCGGCAGCGGCGCCTCAGGGCCGCCGCCGGCGTCCAGCAGGCTGTGCATCGAGCTCAGGATGCGGTCGATGCTGGCGATGGTGGAGCAGCGCGCCTGGTCCTCGCTGTACGCCGACGCCGGTGAGTCGGGCCGAGAGCGCGCCTCGCGGAGGTCGGCCTCGCTCTGCGTGCCGCGCATCCGGCGCAGGCTGGAGACGCGCGGCGGGGGCGCCGGGCGCCGCCGGCGGCCCCGCCGCTCGCGCTGCTCCGGTACCAGCGTGGCCATGCGCGCCTCGAACGAGCGCAGGCCGGCGAGCACGTTGACGCGGCTGGGCGGCAGCGGCACACTGGTGACCAGCCAGGTCCTGCCGGCGAACGGGCCGTGCACTGCCGACGGACGCATGGCTGGCTGTGCGGCCGCGCCGCCGCCGCCGCCGCCCCGCTGCCGCCCACTGTTTATAGAAGCGGGGCTGACCAGGCGGCCGGGGTGGCGACCGTGACCGGCGCCCGACCGACCCCTCCCGCCGCCCTCAGCTGTCCGTCTCGGCCGTCTGCTGTCCCCCGCCCCCGCCTCCGCTCGTGTTGTGGTCGGCACTCTCCTGCGTACATTTCCGCTGGGTGGATCTCACGCCCTATGCCGCGGCACGGTCTGGCGTGTCCTGGAATCACGCGTCGGCAATGGGTCGCCTTGCGGGGGACGGGGTCGTGGGTCGGCAGCAGATGTGGCAATGGGTGATGTCAGCTCGGAGACGGCTGTGCTAGTTCGACGGGTAAATGTTGTTTGGGAACATGGCCTGTGGCGCGGACGAGGTCTCTGTGACGGTGCTAGCCGCTGCACTGCTTGTCATTGCTCGTCGGGTGCTGTGCGGTCTCGCCTGGTCCAGTGGTCGAGTGCTCCCTTCCGAGAGGTGTAATTTGGTCCCAACTGGCTCTACCCAAGTAGGTTGGTCTCGACCGGGCTTAGAACTGCACTATGTTTTGCACTGAACGAGAGTGACGGCTGACCGAGCCCCACCCGAGCTCGAGCAGTCCCTCCGCCGAGCTCGAGCAGCCCCGACCGTGGGACGAGGTCCCTAGCGGTTCGGGGCGGCCGCTGCAGCTCCCGGCTGGCTGGCCGGCTCGTTTGTTTACCGAGATCGTATGGCCTCTCCGCTCGGCGACCAATGATTACACGGACATTTCCAGCGGAGGCGCGACAGAGACGAGTGCCCCCCCCCCCCCCCCTCCCCCCGGCTGACTGACAGGCGGGCAGTCCGTGCGCCGCAGTCCTCTCTGGGTACGCGAGACGACTTGTACGCCCACACAGCTGATCGAGGCTAACCAAACATCTGTATCACACATCGAATCATCACAGATCACTGCGTCACAGTTACTGCTGGTAGCTGATCGGGAGTAGATCACTGCATGATAATCGGGCGGTGTGACAGATTGACAGTCCTGTGAGTGTCCAGATGGGGCAATCGTTTCAAATCGTCTCTCCGTCCATACGCACACACTGCCGTCCGTTTATACCCCGCGCCGTCAGTCCGTTGCAATGTTTGACTCGGATCCTGTCAATTTGGATAGATCCGGAAACTGCGTATGGTAACTTCCGGGGTGCTTGACCTGTAACCAATACTCGACTGACGAGTACTTATATTCCTAGCTGTTATCTGTGTTATAATTTCGACCCCCTTCACTCGTCTGCCGTAGCGGGACGGGGAGATCGCTAGGGAGTCAGACCGGCGAGTGTGCATTTCTAGCTGCTCTCTGTGTGTGATAATTTCGATCCCGTTCAGTCGTCTGCCATAGCGGGACCGGGACGGGAGCTCGTTAGTGGGTTCGGACCGCGGTGTGCTCGGGCGTCTGGAAATCCTCACCGCGCTGACACATGCCTGTCGGTGCAGATCCCGGGCGCGGCGACTGTGCATGGCTGCGGCCCCGGAGGACAGTTAGCCGCGCTGCTCTGACTGAGCTGACAGGCCGAGCCGGGCTGACAGGCTGCGCACTGCACGCTCAGCGGTGGGATTGGTTGTGAGATAGAGTGAGGATTGGAGCATGTTTCTTTACGACGTGAGAGATAAACGTATTAATCGTTCTTATTGCCCCCCGTCATTTATTTACCCCTGCGGCACACGTTAACCTCTCGCTCTCTTTCCCTTCCCGCCAGGACAGTCACGATGCGTCCGTCACCCTCTGAGGAGGTGTACTCGGTACGGTTCAGCCAGGACAGCAGCGCCTTCTGCTGCGCCCTGGCCTCCGGGGTGCGGCAGTACAACCTGGAGCCGCTGGCCGAGCTGGCCGCGCACGGACCGCTCCGGTTCGGCAGCATCGGCGTCTGCGAGATGCTGGATCGGTGAGAGACGGTGATGGTGAGAGGGTGAGAATGGAGAGACGGTGAGAGGGTGGTAGATCGTTGAGAAGGCTATGTGTGAAAATTGAGATACAGCTTCTTTGGAAAGGTTGAGATTCTTTACAGGTCTTGTGTGATGCACCGTCATTAATGACAATAGCAGACGATGATTTTTTTAAAGTTTTTTTTTTAGCTAGTTAAGAAAGTTCGAACGGAAGGTGCTGTGCTGTGAACATTCTGCGCCGGTAACCTTATATGCAATATGCATAATGCTTGTTGCTTCAACTATGAACTGATTTCGTTAACTTTTCCTTTTCAGGCGTAGCATGTAACATCAGTAGCAAAGCAACCATGTGTCGCTGTATCTGACCTGTTTTTGCGTCGTTCGAGACCTTTTCAGCAGAATTGAGCTCGGTAAACATCTGAATCTGCACGCCGAAGTGAGAAGGGTGTGTTTGTATATGCAGGCACATTTGACATTTGTCGGATCTATAACTGACCGCCTCCATGTAATATTTTAATTATTAATTATTTACTTGCATTTTTTTAGATCACATGCTTGTGTGCACTGAGAGTGATCAGGTCCTCAGGTGAAGCATTTTGACACAGGTTTCAACAACTCCAGCTGACCTGACAATTACCTACCCTTAGGTCCAATTTCCAACCCTGATACTTGATAGTGTGTAGGGTAGGGCTAATGGTACCTGACCTGACCTGACCCTCGTCCCCAGGTCGAACCTTTTGGCGGTGGTGTGTTGGTGGCGAGACCTGACCTGACCTGACCTGACCTCTGTCCCCAGGTCGAACTTTTTGGCGGTGGTGTGTAACGAACGGTACCTAACCTGATCCGATCTGATCTGACCTGGCCTGACCCGACCCCTGCCCCCCCCCCCCCAGGTCAAACCTGCTGGCGATGGTGGGCGGCGGCGCCTGACCTGACCTGACCTGGCCTGACCCGACCCCTGCCCCCCCAGGTCGAACCTGTTGGCGGTGGTGGGCGGCGGCGCCACGCCCCGGTTCGCCGACAACACGGTGCTGATCCATGACGCGGCTCTGGACCAGTTCGTACTGGAGCTGACCTTTAGCGCCCCGGTGCTGGCCGTCAGGATGCGCCGCGACCGGCTCATCGTGGCTCTGAGGTGAGAGGGCTGGGTCAGTAGTGAGACGCTGTGCCCTTAGATCAGGCGAGGTTAGATGGATGTTTTCGTAGATTAATCGGTTGGGTAAGGATGGTAGTGAACCGTTATTTGACACCATACCCTCAAGTCTGTAATTTGTATGAATTGAACTGTTCGGATCGGTTGATGTGTCTGCTTTTTATATTATCTGGTGTGTCGTTTGTTTATGGATTCTCTCACTCCTCGCTTCTACATTATTTTGTACAATCACTGTCTTATACAAGTGTTTATATTGGCAGCACCAGACAATGGATTCCCCCCCTCCCCCCTAGTATTATTTGAGTAAATAAACAGCACAGTTTTTGTCGTGAATGTCTCGAAACACGATTCTTACAATCGTGGTCTTGGCATTAGACTGTTCTTCTAATAATGCGTTATCATCTCTCCGGTGATTGATTGCTTGTTTTTTTTTCTGTGTAATCGCACTGTATTATCTTTTAACGAAAAACATTGAATAATCACTGCTCTGTATTACCTAGAAGTTTCTTTTTGTTGTGTAGCACTGCAGCGGCCGCCTAGGGTCGCCCATAAACTACTGACTGACTAGCTGGCCAACAATTAAAGGAATAATAGTCCAGGCGTGGATTGTGTGCCGGTTAGACTAAGCTAGCATTGGGACACAAAATACCAGACTTATCGTAAGCCACTTACCCACCGTAATTCACCTATTCACCTCGTGACCACCCGTCCATCACGCCACTTTGAAGGCCTGTTCACTTTCCCCTTATCCCATCCACAGGCGTCAGGTGCACGTGTTCACGTTCCCGTCTCCGTGTGAGTGTCTGTTCACGGTGGAGACGGCCGACAACCCGCTGGGTCTCTGCGAGGTCAGCCCGCTCTCCACCAGTGACCACCACCTGCTCTGTTTCCCGGCGCGCAAGACGGGAGCCCTGCAGCTGATCGACCTCTCGGCCACCGAGGCGCAGGTCTCGTGTGCGCCGGTCACCATTAACGCCCACCAGGGCCACCTGGCCGCGCTGGCCATCAACCAGCAGGGCAGTCTGGTGAGTGAAACGGGATCAGGGGTGTCGAGGGGGAGCGGAAATTTCGTCAGAACCTAGGATGTTTTTTGGCGCTGCAGGAAAACTATGTACTTACACGGAATTCAATAGAAGCTCGTGAAGTGTGTGTATTTTTTTTTTTTTTTTGTTATGTTGGGTTAGGCCCGTTCGGTCTGACAAGACCATTTCAGAGCCGGAAGGATGATAGGAATTAGGGGGAGACATTGGTCTGGGCGAGCACCCTGGTGAGTCGTCGGGGCTGAGCCTGTCAAGAAGACAGGCCGACCAGCTCCCCAAGCACTCACTGCACCCGGCTACGGGCGTGCTCTTACGGGCAATTCCGCATGGGATAAAGTTGCCCGTCCAGTCCGGAGCAGGGGAAAGAGGCGTGGAGGAGAAGGACTTGTCTTCCTGAGGATGGAAAACAAGGAATGGAGGTAATTTGGTGATTTTCAAATTCTGTGTCTGCCCTCACACGGCATCAAATCGGCTCCGTTCCGCCGTACCGCGCCTGTGTAGCTGTAGATCCACGGTTACAAATATTTGCCGCAGTCAGGCGACCGCCGGGGGACAGAACCGTGTGTATACTGTATATAGTGCTGGCGCCATGTCGGTTTGACGCCCAAACCACTGAGGCGGCGCTGCCACTCCCCCGGACCTGCTGACCTTTGGCCTGACCGCTGCCGCCACATTACTGCCGGGAGACGGCCAGTCCAGCATCCTCTACCACCAATATACCAGGAGCTCCGCTAGACACGGCAAAAACAGAATCCTGCCTCGGACGTCATGATATAAAGGACAACGAGAGGAAGAAAAAGAAAAAGTAAAAATGTCTGATCTGCTAAGATGCTTTTGTTTTGTTTGTTTTTGTTTTGTTGGGTTAAGCCCTCTCGGTCTGACAAGACCATTTCAGAGCCGGAAGGATGCTAGGAATTAGGGGGAGACAGATTGGTCTGGGCAGACACTCTAGAGGGTCGCCGGGGCTGAGCCCGTCCGAATGGACAGACCGACCAGCCCCCCAAGCACTCTGCACCCGGCTACGGGGTGCGCTCCCTCGGGAACAGCGGTGCCGCTCCAAGGGACTAGCCCGCATGAGATAAAGGTGCCTGTCTAGCCCGGAGTGGGGGTTGCGGCGTGGAGGAGAAGGATTTCAGCATCCTGAGGAACGAAACGACGGAACGGGGTGCTAAGATGATATGGTTTTCGCGTCATCTCTTCCTCATTTTACTTTCTCGCAGCATGATTAACCGCTTTTGTAGTTGTTTTCCTTCATATTGTATTTGATACCAGGTCAGCGGGTTTGTTGTTCCCCATGCACGGCTGCCGTGGCCGCCGGCCGTGCTGATCCGCGCGGGGCTCGAGCCGGCCAACCAGTCCATTGCATCATCGCATCAGCCTCAGTCTGCCCGTCCGTTACCGCAGCTGGTGCAGGAGACACAGAGCCATCTATCGTCTGAATAGGGAACTAACCCCCGCCGCCCGAGCCGCCGCCGCCGCACAGTGGGTGACGACTGTCTGAGCAGAGTTTCAGCTCGGGCTTATTCCGCAGTGACAGCTGACGGCTGGGTACTGTGTGGCGCCCGCCCTGTCACACCGAGGCAGTACGACAGCAGAGCGGGCGGCTGCGTGCCAAGGCTGGCTCCAGCGGGGTCACTGCCCCCGGGTCACGTCTGCCCCCCCCCCCCCCGTCCCCAAGCGTGGTGTGGCCAGCTGAGCACGCACGTTCCACTCCGGGCTGGGTGCGGCCGCGCCAGGGCCGGGCTGTCAGCTGTCGTGGGCGTCGATAGCCCGTGACGTCAGCGTCGACTTGGTGGTGTGGCGACATCTATATCAGTCATGAGTTTTGATATTTGTGGATAGATGACACTAGCGAGTTGACCGGTCCCGTCCGTTGCTATTTACGACGTCTCCATAATGCTCTTATCTGGCTTGTACGCTCTATTTTTCTTGGCAGGTTTTCATTCTCCAGCGAAGACATTCGCTTCCTACCATACCATACCATAACGTATTCGAGAATTTTGGTAGGCCACTTGGCCTGATGGTCCCGTTCTCATCGAGCATTGCTTAGATCAATCAGGAATTTGGTGGCGGATGCCATGCCAGTGGGCATCCAGGCGCGCCTTGAACAGGCCCAGGGAAGGAGCTAGGACGACCTCCGAGGGAAGCGAGTTCCAGTCGCTAATCACTCTCGTGCTGAAGCAGTGTCTCCTGGCCCTCACTTGTGCTTGGTCCTTCCTCAACTTCCATGGATGTCCTCTTGTTCTCTGATCCAGTGTTGGGGTGAAAAAGTCCTCGTGGCGTACATCTATCTCTCCGTGTAGCACCTGATAGGTCTTGATCATGTCTCCGCGTCGTCTTCGGTAGTAAAGAGAGGGGAGATCCAGGAGTCTCAGCCGTTCTGTGTATGGCAGATGCCTTATGTCCGCAACAAGTTTCGTGGCACGTCTCTGCACTCTCTCGATGGCCTTTTGGTCCGCCTTGGAGAAGGGGCCCCAAATGCAGCAGCCGTACTCAAGATGGGGCCGAACGAGTGACTTGAATAGCAGGGGGAGAGTGTCGCAGTTGATGGCTTGAAATGACTTGCGTATCAAGGCCAACACCTGTGATGCCTTTGCAACCGCACTTGCTGCCTGTTTTCTGAATTTCAGGTCAGTGTCGATGTGCACCCCGAGATCTCTCTCCGATTCCGTCTCACTGAGTTGAAGGCCGTTGAGTGTGTAGGTGCACCCTGGGTTACGGCTGCCGATGTGGAGAACCGCGCACTTTTCTTCGTTGAATGGTAGCTGCCAGGCCTTGGACCACTCGGCAATGGCGTCCAGGTCATCCTGTATGTGTCTCCTGTCCTGCTCGGTTTGCACCCTCCTATACAGCTTCGTGTCGTCGGCAAATATCTTAATCGAGCAGCCGACCACGCTGGGCATGTCATTCACGAAGACGATGAAAAGTGTTGGCCCCAGAACAGAACCCTGGGGAACCCCGCTTAACACCGGTGACCATGGTGATTGCTGTCCTCCGATACAGACCTGCTGGTGCCGTCCTGTCAGGAACGACTGGATCCAGTTCAGCACTGCGCCCGCTACTCCGCATGCTCTCAACTTGCTCAGGAGGCGTTGGTGGGGCACAGAATCGAAGGCCTTACGAAAATCAAGGTACACGGCGTCGAGCGGGTTGCCGTGTTCGAGGGTCCTCGTCCATTCTTCTAGTACCTCTAGGAGTTGGGAGGTGCAGGATCTCTTCGCTCTGAACCCGTGTTGATCTTTGGAGAGCTGGCCAGTGGCCGACAGGTGTTCCACCAGTTGGTCTCTTATCAGTGACTCCAGCACCTTGCAAGGAACAGAAGTGAGGCTGACCGGCCGGTAATTTCCAGGGAGACTTCTATCGCCTTTCTTGAATATTGGTGTCACTGAACCCAGTTTCCAGTCTTGAGGTAGTCTCCCACTTGCCAAGGACTTTCTGAAAACTTCTGCGAGTGGTGACGCGATTGATCGTGCGGTTTCCCGGAGAATCCTTGGGTGTATGCCGTCCGGGCCGGGTGAGCTACAAGTCTTTAGCTTCATCAGCTTGCCCATTACCATTTCATCTGTGATGACGATCCTATAAATCAATTTAATCTTGAGTGGATGTCTTGTATCGAAGAAGCTTTTTTTCGTTAAAGGGACCCTCCCACCTTAAAAAAGTTAATGAATTGGCATAAAAGTGATGTACCGTGAATCAGAAAGAGCGAAAATGAACATCTACCAAATTTCACCGAAAAATATTCACCCGTTTTTGAAATATAAGACTTTTATTTTATAACGCGCGGTCAATGGGCTTGATGACGTCATCAGAGTCCGTTAGTGTTAAGAGATAGGGACTACGCTGGTCCCACCCTGCAAGTAAAGGGAAGAAATTTCTTGAACACTATAAAGCTGCGGGGGTTGCGACCAGGATAAATGGTGGTTTCTGAGCCTGACCGCAAACTTGGCTATCTCAACTCAAAACTAATGGTAAGGTGGGAGGGTCCCTTTAAAGGAAGACTGCCACCTTCAAAAAGTTTTCTCAGATCGGCCTATGATTTATTCCCTGGACAAAACAAAATTTTAGAATTCACCTGACAAAGTATCATCACGTGAATCGCGAAAAAATTATCGATTATCATACAATTATCAATCGGTTAATGTCTAGCGACAATGTTTACACATCACTAGACTTCAAGGTCATAAGATTATTACATTTTATTTGAAAAAGTAAGGTATTTTATGATTTACTAATACATGATTTTATTTACTGTATATGATTTCATAAGAAATTGGCCATGTTTAATTTATTTTGCATTTAACTTCGTAAAACATTTAAAAATCATGGCTCATTTGGAATGGGTCTGGCCCATGTTAAACCTCACTTCCCACACTTTTTTGGAAAAAATGACCTACTGAATATATAAGTTTAACTTTTATTTTGACACTCCAAAATTCTTCTCTGATCTCGAAACAATCAAAGTTTTGACATATATTTGCCAAAAGATAAGAAAATTCATGTTTCAAAGTTATCGATAAACAGTAGAGATGTCGGTTTTCTTGGACTAAAAAAATGGCATCAAACTGAACTTTGGTCTCCGATTTCTCGCAAACGGGTTCGAATTTCGGAAAACCGACTTCAGTCTGGGACATAGGTGGCTCAGCTCTAGTGAAAACCGTTTTGTGAAAAAATGGTGGCAGTCTACCTTTAAGTGTTTTTTTTCATCGAGGGCTAGCAGCCCCTCCCACTCCTTTGGCAAGACAAGATAACAATGCCGACATTTTCATGAGGTTTTGACTGTATTCATCCTGACAGTCTCCAAAACCTTTGCACGCAGTCCCATGTTTCGTGTTTATTGAACTTCATTGTTCATTTAAAAATGACGCCCGATAAAGGTCGTGACATTTGCCTGCATTTATTACTGTTTTGCAACCAAGTGTATATCATTCCATTCAAAATCTCTTACCTACCACTTTCCAGCCTGTCCTTCCCATTCAGCTGCCCCACATTCATGACTCCTCCCGTTCGCCACCCCTCTGACACCGCCCCTCTGACGGCGCACCCTCTGACGGCGCACCCTCTGCCGCCAGGTGGCCACCGCGTCCCGGAAGGGCACGCTGATCCGCGTCTGGGACGTGGCGCAGCGCTGTCTGGTGGCCGAGCTGCGGCGCGGCTCCGACACGGCCGTCCTCCACTGCATCGCCTTCAGCGGCGACAGCACCTACCTGTGCTGCAGCAGCGACAAGGGCACCATTCACGTGTTCGCCGTGCGCGATCCGGCGCTGAACCGGCGCTCGGCGCTCAGCCGTGTCGGCCTGCGCGGACGCTACCTGGAGTCGCAGTGGGCGCTGGCCACCTGCACAGTGCCCGCCGAGCGGCCGTGCGCCTGCGCGTTCGGCGCCGCCGGCACCGTGTACGCCGTCTGCCTGGACGGCACGTTCCACAAGTATGTGTTCACGGCGGACGGCAGCTGTAACCGGGAGGCGTACGACGTGTATCTGGATGTGTGTGGCAAAAATGACTTCTGAGGAATGGCAAGGAAGAGGAGAATTCGGATCGTATGTGGGTTGGGTGATGCTTATATCGTGTACCTACACTGCGAAGACAATAGTGGAAAGTGCAAAATACCCCATCCTGTACTAAGTGTGGTAAGTATGTTGAAGATTAGTTGTTGGGTAAAGAACGCCCTATATTTGAGCATGACTGTGGAATGGGGCTGGAACATGCATAGTGTGGCAAAGTGCTCAGTGAAACTGCAGCAAGTACCAGGCCGGCTTGCCTGTTGCACGAAGAGAGTGTTGAATATGCTACCATCAGAGGACATTTTACGATCGAATGGTCTTTCGCGAACGTCTGCCAGTTGTAAGTACGTGGGCTGTGTGCTTTAACCGTGTGGCGGGATTTTGTCACTGCCAGCTAGGTGGGAATTTTAGGCAACTGGGCTGGGTCAGGCGGATTCAATCGGGGCTGAATGCTGATAGCGTGGTGAGTAGGTAATGAACAATTTGGCACACATGCTGATTGGTGTGCTTTGAGTGTTAGATATTTGGGTATAACTGCGGAATTATTCCAGGGAACAGTGCGAATTTGCGAGTCTTTCCTATTTTGTGTGAGCCCCCTGATCTTATCACGTAAGGGGAGGTGAGATCACGCGTTTACATGCACACTGCCTGCAATAAGATGGCTTTCGTCGTTTCGTCATTTCGACTAACATAGCTTGTGTGAAAGTTGTCCTCGTATGAGCATTCATATATCTATTGTTTCGTTTTCGCACGCAAGTTTAACCAGTTTTAGGTTAGTTGTTGAGTTTGTGGTGAGTTCTAGTCGAAATGCCGCACTCGATTCAGTTGTTTGATAGTTGTCCTGCTGTGTAGTCACTGTTCCATCGAATTGCCGAACAGGAAGTACCCACACCGGAGAGTTCCGGTTTTATTTGTGAAACAATTACACGCCGGCCCGGCATGGTACTTTGTAAGGAATACGCCGTATTATAGTTGTACGTATTTTCGCGTATATCATAAGCAAGCCTATCATCATATTTTTATCGTCGCCTGCGCTGAAAATAAAACATCTACGAATCTATTGAGATTCGGATGTATTTGCTAGAGCTGCCGTTTCAAAGGTTGAGAAGCGTGTAAAATGCATTGTTCTCACATAACTGTTGTACAGACTACAACAGTCACATGTTTGTGGGATCTGCGCTCGTTGAAGGTAGACCAGCGCTCAATACCCCTGGACTCACTTCATTCACTCAATATACCCTGGACCAGCGTGCCTTGGCGTTCTTAGGAATACCAATACCGATAATACCGCTGATTTAAGTGATTTCCCTGCGCAACATGTAAATATCGTTTCTGCTCTTCTCGCAGGTCCACATTTGAACGTATTCTCCGAGCTGGATGGAAGAATTACTGAATATGTTTACCGCCTGTGCATTGTTTCCGCTAAACGGTGAAACTAGCAGAAACTGTTCGCGCGTGAATGGTACGTCGGGGCAACGTCGGGGTATGCTTGACTGAACCGGTCAGAGTTCTGGCTCGGATTGACGCACAAGGCTGCGCCCTGAGTCGAAGCAGAATCGCCACTTTTTGTGTCTACTCTGGTTAGTGACTTGGTGTGTGGTCAGGGCGTGATCATCGTAATCGACGTTTATGTGTTTCATTTCTTGTTCGACATTTTATTTGGTATCAGCTTCAAGACAACAAGAAAATAACGCAGGCGATCTCGAAATCGGCCCTTTGTAGTTGGAGTCAAAGCCAACTTTGGAGGGGCTTCATAGGGTGTTTTTAGGGCCCCGTGAGAACTTTAGGCATGTCGACTGCCTGCGCCTTAGAATTCATGCAGCGTTTTCGTTTTCTTTTTTTAGTCTGTTTTTTTTTCTTACAGCATGTTTGCAATCTTCAATATTTATCACTCGGTCGATGGTCATTGTTTGAGACAGACAAGCTGGCCGCGCGATCTTGAATATTTTCGATGACAGAGTGTATTACCGTCGCGCTTTGAAGCGCCTGAATCCACATGCACCGTCCTAGCTAGCAGCCTGCCGGTCACCGTTCGTGGCCACAGGCCACGGTCGACCGTCTCTCGTTTGCCAGCGCTTGTCATATTGTCTCCCGTCGCTGCCCGTGCCCCTGCCCGTTTACTTTGCCTTTGATAGTTTCCGGGATACAATTAAAAAATAGACGGGCAGACAGGTGAGACGGTTAGGCGGGGCGTGGATCTTAAACGGCGGAATGAAATACGGGACTAGATAACCTAATCATCTAATAACGACCGATAAGCATGAGCGGGCCTCCTACCGCAACAAGCCTTTGGTGCCGGGCAGCTTTATAGTCATGGCAAAACTGATTTCGATGGCAATAGAGGTAGCCGTCATTTGAGATCGTCAAAAAATCGTAGAGTTTTCAGTCGCGTATGCGTTTGCGAAATTGAGGTTCGCGATTTTCTTTCAATCGTTCATGCAAATTTTCATCGAAACGTATCACTATGGGAGGGAGCGATACGGTTCTTTGCACGCACCACTATTTGCAGTGGATCGACCAGCATCCCATACGAGTGAAGTTGCCCTGGGTGCGGATCGCATTGTAATATGAGTGATGCCGATGGTGCGATTAGACGTCATCGGCAGTCGTCTTCGGGTCAGGTGCCGCCCATTTCTGCCTGGTGTAAGATAATATTACGGATCTGAGCATCAGCGGACCTGTCCCAATTGCATAAACGCCCAACGTATACCGTGAGTGATTCAGCACCGGTTCGTCCCTGCACGGGCCGTCCCAGGTCAGGCGGGCGGCTCAGCCTCGCCGCTCCCGTCCGTAGCGACATCTGAGCGGGCGCCCGGCCCCGACCGCGCCGGCGACTCTCCCGTCCGGGAGAAACCGCCTCCACCGCCGGGCGCCGCTGCCGCCGCCGCCAGCCCGGCACCCGGCCGCTCGTGACGTAGCTGGTCGCCCGGAACGCAGATACCGTATATTCGGCCGCGCACAGCTGCTGTGGCCTCGATTTCCGGTGCAGATGGCGCCACCGACCAAGCGCTTGGTGTCGCCGAGTTAACGCTTCAGGGCCTGCTCACGGCCACCTGTATTTCATTTTCAATGAGTTTCACTTGTTTTCTGTAAAACTAGCTTACCAAATGCTCTTAGCTTTAAAAATTAGTTAGTGAAACACACATTGCATGGCAAAATAGCGCCACCTGTCGAGTTTATATCAGTCCCACACACAAGGGGGAAAAGCTCAAAAAATTGAGCGCTCAAAAAATTGAGCGGGCCCCATTATGAAGGAATAGGCGAAACGATGGTATTTTACAATGCCTTTAGCGTCACACTACGACAAATATCGTATCCAAATAAGGTATCAATGGCAAGAGGGAGCAACAAGGTTTCTTCTCGAACACTCGCCGTGATAATTTATATCGGTGTTTTTGGAAAGAAAATGCCCTAAAGACGCTCAACTTTTTGAGCGCCACTTGTCGTTCGGGACCGCGATACTCAATAAATTGAGCGCCACGACAGACGACAGTCAGCTGGCGCTCAAAAAATTGAGTGCCGGCCAGCATCTACACTCAATTTTTTGAGCGTTCTGCGTGACAGGTGAAGCCGGTACTGGCTGCCATGGTTGATGTTCTGTTCGTTGAAATACGTTAACCTGAGTTGAAACAGAAATGCAGGAAGTTGAATGCAACGTGGCACCTAAACTTTACACAAACCCATGGCATCATGTCACATTTTCCGCTAGTAGTTTTATCGGTCGCCTTTCGGATTCGGCACACCTCAAATAATTACAGGGCTTGAATAATCCGTATGAATACTGTATTGATATTCTCTGACTGTACTGGGAGAAGGGAATACGTGAATACAGAAAGACATCCACCCACGCTTGAATATTGGAGAATTATAGCAGGAAAAACTGTATTGCCACGGTTACAACTTACAAGGCCATCGGCCGCAAACAAACAAAAATACTATACAATGTGGTTTAGATTCACAAACATCATCAAGTGTGGAACACAGAGACGAGCAAAACAACATCACATTATCGCATGCCAGCCCGACCACATTGGAACCGGGTGACCTGCGACCGGAACCTGCGTCTTGCCAGCATACATCACAAAAGCAGGAGGCAGTGTCATGCTGCTTTGATCCAAAATATGCCATATAACAAATGATATAAACGACCTAAGCTCGGACTAAGCTAATCATTATCAAATCCTTAATATGTAAAGGACGAATGGAAACATCGAGTCTCAGACCAGCAGTAGCAACCATCACAGTAGCAACATCACAAAGAACACGCGGCATTATCAGACAGCCGTTTTGTTATCGGGCTACAGGCGGCGACGGCGTGGTTGCAGACCAGCTGCGAGGTAGCGGCGTGCGGGCAAAAGGCACGGACACACCTCCACGTGGCCGTGCAGACAGTGCGCGGTCGGCGTCGCATAGTGGGCGGCATCGGGCTGTCCCGGGGCCGTCGAAGCCGCACAGGTTGTCGGCGCATGTGGGCGCGCGCGGTCACCACGGCCAGCTGCTCACCGCCAGCCCACAGACCGCGCAGCGTCGCCGCTCCGCCGGCCAGAACACGCAGACAACCCTTCTTGCAGTCGCACAACACGTAGCCAAACTCATTCACCTGCTCCACCATGTTGTTGATGTCACCGAGTCGTTCAAGTTGTGGCTCGTGCCGTCGAACATGACCTGCCCGATCGGACACGGGTCAGCGGCTTCTGCTCCAGCGAAGTCTTCATCTTCTGACGTCTTGCTGATCTCCACAAAGGCTGAGCAGATGACCTTACCCACAGGGACGGCCGACGTCCTCGCCAGCGACCGCTTGGTTGTGCAGACCTGCCAGAAAAAGAAAAGCTGTTTGGTGATCTCAAACGATTTTTTTCTTTATGCAGTGGAACAAAATGGAAAATATGTCATACAACAGGAACTAAAAAAAGATGCAGCCTAGGTCGTCTAAGAAATGGGTGCAACATTGATAAAATTCTTCACTGAATGAATTCTGCAAATGCTTTTGATAAAATGTGTGGTGATTATAAGGAGACCACTTTACTATAAAATTGCTCAGGATTCCCTATCTGGACCTGTCAAAAAATCCTGACTGCACACCAACAATGAGCATTAAATCCGAAACCTCTACCAGGTACCTAGGGATAGTTAAATTCTGATTCAGGAAAATATTTCACATCATACAAATAAAAACCTTTACTATATTGAAACTGAAAATGTGATGCCGATCCAGTGACCTAAGGGTCTCAAAGTATAATAATGAATTAATCTATTATAAATTTGGTGGTGACTGCCGACTGGCGTCTGGCGGCCTAGACCTTGAGGCTTGAAAGTGGCCTTCCTTTTCCGTTGACTCCGATCCTCCAGATGGAAATGATAGGTATAAAGGATCATTTTTATCTTATTTCATATGAACCAGTCAGCAAAGTGGCTATCCTGTTTCAGCATTCACACACACAATAGTTGACTGTCAGTCTGTCATGCTATCAGTGTTGTGAAGTAACGAAGGAGTTGAGTTTTGTTGATTATAAATTGTGATGTTATGTAAAGGACTGGAAAATGAATGTGAAAACTATGGAAACATATTGGCAGAGTATTGTCACTTGCTATCAGGACATGTGGATAGAGAATACATTCAAATTAATAAGAAATGCCAAATATCAAGGTACTCGATCACCATGATAGCAGTGGACTATCATATGTTTTAATGTCAATTATATGAAAGTTAAGGCTGAAACCACCTTTTACCTCATCATACCTAATGAAAAATTGTGTGAAGAAAACATTCACCGCCTCTTTGAAGCACTTAGACCACTAAAAAACAAAAATTTTCACGTAAATATGTTGTGTCTCCTTCCTTCATAACATCATATCGAATGGCGCCACTTTCGTCGACAGTTACTTATCTGCACGCAAATCGAGGAAAACGTGAATTGATTGACGTTTACGTGTTTCCAAATTTAAAATCACAGCATATTCAAACTTTTCAGTGTAGCTTTTAAACATCTAAGTATAACTAAAACGATAAAAACTTACCTTCAACACAAGGACGACGACAACCACGCGACCGGAGACGTCGC